AACGAACAGTGCGGCCTGATAGCAGGCCAAGAGGGGACGATTGGAAACAGGTTGACCAAGAGAGTGGGGTGCTGATCAGTGTAGAGATCGGAGCAACGGAGCAACAATACACAGATCACGCGACCAGCAGAGCCTGGGTCACATGACTAAGAATTTGGATCACCTTGGATCACCGGTGATCCAGGGTGAGCCACCTAATCAGTGAGGGAGAGATTGGATATATAAGGACAGACATTTCCCAGCTAGATAGATAGACAGTCTTTACCTCAGTGATCAATCTAAGCATTTTAGCCAACCCTAAGGTGGGAGAAATCTCCTGACGACTCGGCTACACAGTGATCCCAGTTCAGACCAAGCCCCAGCATCTGAGTGTCTTTTAGTTGACAGAAGCCTCTATCGTCTTTTGTGTTGACTAACCTCAGAACATCAACCCTATAGAACCTTTTAGCCTTATAGGTTAGACGGCTCGTCACATGAATAAAGAAAATAAGGGCCAATTATACCCTCAGAGTTAGCGGTAAAGTGTAATACTTTAATCGAATGTAAGACTTTTTTTCATTTTTCAAACATGGTATTTAACCTTATGTTTTATTTAAAAATGAATTTTTATGAGCGTAAGCATATATTCGGTTAAGATGTTATTTAATTAGTTTTTGATAAATATTTACGTTGCCGTTTTTAATTATTTTAACAAAAATTTAGCTTTCTAAAATTTTGATAATAACCTTTAAAACTTCATAAATAATCGGTTTATAATTATTATTATCAGATTTAATCATATCTTTTTAAACTATAAAAAACCGATTATAAACTTTTCTTACTAGTTATAACTAAACTCATACCGAAACTACCTTTCATTCTTTTTTAACACGGTTGAATCTAGTTTTGAAGCTAATTGATTACGATCAGGTTGAATTCATTACGTTTAAACGCTTTCACAGCCTAGCCGGTACTAATCGGAATTAAAAAAAACATAAAGGCTTTTAACTTAGCTTATTAATAAGCGAAATTATTATTAATACGCTTATTTTACATAGCTTTTTAAACGTTAACAAGTTTTTTAATAAGCGTTATAATTATAAATGATTATATTTAAATTTTATCGTTTATATAATTTTCGTTTAAAATACACATTTATACTCGTGAAAAATGACGATCTATCGAAAACGGATTCATAAAACTTTATTAATATTTCATTAAAAAGTAAATGACGAAGAGATCAAAAATTATAAGTTAGTTATAGAAATAAGTCCGGTACTATTTAAAAGCGATTATAATTGTTTAATTTTATTAATTTATATAAATCTTTTAAATAAGGTATAGGTAAGTTTATTCGGCGCGAAATTAGTTAAAATTATAACCACAAGTTCAAAAATAAGTTTATAAGTATAGTAAAAAAAAAATCGGTTTAGAAAAAGTAGCTTACTTTGAAATATAATAAAAATACGACTAAAAAATTATGAATATAAGCATAAGAACTCATTTATATCGAATAACAAGTAATTATATACACGCATTTTAATTAGCTATAACTGTGGGAACAGGCTTGAACGATCAATCATAACACTCGAGTATAGGGTTAAGGTCATGATGTTGCTGATGGTTGGATTGGGAAGTCTAGCTGGACCTGAAGGTCTGGCTAAGTGACCTCACAATCTGGTATCTAATCTCTTATCTAATCATACATGTGGGTTCTGTATGGATGGTTTGTCTGTGGAATCACATGGATCCAACAATGACTATATTTTAAAAAGTGTTTTTCCCGCTAGAAAACTAATCGATTATTTTCAATTATTTTAACTGTTTATAAGCTATTTTAATTTATTTTAATAACGGGTTTTTTAAAGTGTCGGCTTTTACGTTTTAAGCGGAGCAGTATTTTGTAAGAAATACCTGCTTTTAAGTAGTAAACCTACTTATTTTCAAGTGCTGCCTAGGTGACTATGTTTTAATTAGATACGTTATCCTTAGCTCTTTGCACAGTGCGAAGCATTACGCAGAGCAAGCCGATAGGCTTGTCTGCAATGTTTACGACTTATGACTTGACGATGTGTGTGTGCTTACATGGTGCTATGTAGATGCCATGCCAGTCTAGAGTGAGAAGTGACCGTGGCAGAAGTATATCACAGCATGTAGCGATGTATAAGGTATCTTTGCGCGTTCTTTGCCTGCGGTACGCACCCAGGGGACATCTGTACTTGCTCCTGGTTGATCCCTAGTCAATTGTCTGCGACAGCTTCCATGGCACCAGCTCTTCTTTCAAATTGCGGGCTGGTTGACCTCCGGTCAGTCATCGGAGAACTTGCTGCCCGCGGAGATTGTGTCCCTAGCCAGCCAAAGGACACTGTACACGGGAATCCTTTTGGAACGTCAAAAAAGGCTCAAGCTGCTATTTTAGTCTCACATGCCCCATCTGGAGTATTTTCAGGGAAGTCGTCTATCTGTCCACCGCCAGCTAGTCGACATACAAATAGATACAGTGTGTCAGCATAAATACCGAACACCCCACTCTTATGAAAGAACCCTCCTCATTATAACCACATTCAAAGTGTTACATAAGAGAAAAAAAAACACAAGACAAAGATAAATATATATAGTTTTAATGGTATAATATAGTCAACTTTTAGAAAAATTTATAACTTAAATAATTATAAATAATTTAATAAAATTACATAAAAATAACTATTATATATTCATTTATATATATTTTAATAAAATTATTATATATAAATATCTTTAAAAAAATTGTTACTTATTTTATACTTATTTTTATAAGATTATTATAAAAGGCTAAATTTATATAAATATATACCTAATTTTTAAATAATATTATTAATTAAAAAGAAACTATTTATAAATAAAATAAAATTGATAGTCTAATATTTTTATTATAAAGTTAATTTTGATATTTTTCTTTTTATTTCTAATTAAGTAGAGTTTTTATAAGCGTGTATAAAAGTGCAAGAAACAAATTTAAAAGATGTTCAGTTTTTTTGTCTACACACTGTATACATATTCAAGAATCCCCCTTGTTTGCCCCTATCTACACCTGTGTACCCGCCGGCCCCACAATACCGAAGTTATACTCATAGGTAGTACCGTCGTTTAGAAACCTTGTAATCCACTAGCGGCAGTGGCTTCTTATAGTGGGTAGACAAAAAAACCGAACAGTTTTTAATTTTTACTTCTTGCACTTTTATACATATTTATTAAATACTGTATTTAATTAGAAATAAAAGGAAAAATATCAAAATTAACTTTATTATATAAATATTAAACTATTTGTTTTATTTTAATTTTAAATGGGGGTTTTTTAAATTAATAGTATTACTTAGAAATAAAGTTTATATTTACATAAATTCATCTTTTCATAATAAATCTTGAAAAATAAGTATAGAAATTTAACTAGATTATATTTTAAAATTTTATTTAAATAAATTATTTATTGTCAGATGTTGGATCCTAGATATAGTGCCCTTAGGTACAGTACCCGCTAGGGGGCTGCCAGGGACCGGTGGATCTACCCTAGCATGGTGCAGTATGGTAATTAGCTGTAGATTAGCCATGCCAAGCATACTTGAGAATGACAATAACATTTGCAGCGACCGCTGACACCACCAAGACTTGTGACCCTTCTAGAATCTCATATTTATATTAAAAAATATAAGAATAAGTATAAAATAGCTATTTTTATATAATTTTATTAAAATCTTTATAATTATTTAAGTTAAAATAGTTTTTAAATTTTGATTTTATTATGCCATTAAAACTTTATATATTTATCTTTCTTCCGTATTTTTTTTCTCTTGTGTAAAACTTTGAATGTGGTTATAATGAGGAGGGTTCTTTCATAAGAGTGGGGTGTTCGGTATTTGTGCTGACCCACTGTATCATGGCGATGGCCACTACTTTATGAAAGACAGAAGACAGAAGGAGAAGGCCACAGGGAAAGTGTCGTGTGCTCCAAGTCGCGATTGAGGAGTGGGCGAGTACCGATTGGGCCCACAAAAGCGGACCGGACTGTGGGAGCCTTCGGTGACGACAACGGCAGTCTGAATCCTGCTGCAGTCTGTCAGCGGTCATGACGACATGGTCCTGATCCGCAAGGCCACGAGGCGACGTGCCAAGCACAATATAAAAGAGCGATGTGCCAAGCACACTATGGGACGGCTGGCTGGCTGACGGGAGCCAAGGCCAGATATTCTTACCGTACCGAAGAACCGGGCCGCCCTCCATACAGTCGCAGTCGAATGGTCTTTAGGGTTGCTTCGAGCCTCTGTTGCTTTCCTATATTCCTGCGATTTTGTATGAGAGCGATTTAAACCAGCCACGGATTCCCCCAAGGATGAGACAGCTGGATCAGTTGTGCCCTATTCACTCTCCCTTGGCACCAGGAGCCGCAGTCGATTACAGCAGGGGTGTCCCGGTGTACAGGCAACAGAGCCGACACCGAGTGTAAGGAACGCAGTAGGATGCGCTCCCCAGCCATCCGCCCCCTGGGGAAAGATAACGTTGGTTTGAGGCGCGGTAGAAGCGAGCCATGGAATAATAGAAAAAGGCAATCGAAATGCCCAGGTGCCAAGTCCGGGACTTTCTTCCTCTCTTTTTTTTTCCCGCCTTATTGGCAGCGGCATTCTTGGCTCTTGGCTGAGGATGAAACAAATCCACCCGACAATCGACAGGTAAGCTTTTGTCGTGACGTTGCCACCACAACCATATTTCTCTAACTCTCCTACATACCTATTCGGTCCAATCCGCCGCCCTTCCCCTGATGCAAATGCCAAGCGCGATCCGGTCGTTCGATGAAGCAGTTGATGGCGACTACTGATAAGGACTCTTGGCTCAGTTACGTTGGCTAAACTCTATCGCTGTGTCACTCTCTTTGGTCATACAATATCTTGGCACTTATAATATATATATTCGTGGGTACCACGGGATGAATCAGACGATGTACTTTGAAGACATCATACTCACTCTTGTGAAACCGACAAACTACTATCATGAAGTTTGTCGCCGTTCTATTAGGCCTCGCATCCTGTGCCTTCTCCCAGCTACCCTTTTCCGACCGCGCGGAGGCGGACCCTTGGGAGCATTTCGACCAACCAAGGGGTGTTCCTTTTCCTGATGAAGCCAGTGAGGAGTTGTCTCCCAAGCTCAAGGCCGCCACCAAGACCTTGGAACTTGGGAAGCGTGACGGGCTCTTTGCCCCCCTGAATCAGCTGGAGTTCGTGTATACAGAAAGTAAGTCGAGCGCAGATGCCATGTACATCGTCGTGGTTGCAGTGACTTCCCGGTGAACTTGCACTGATCACGCCATAGATGAACAACGTGTTGGGCCTCATGGTGTTGACATGACCCAACGAGCGACCTTGGCTGGCCTGGCGAGGTATCCAACTTATTTCCCAGAGAAATATCGGGATGTGCAAGTGGCGTGCTATATGAATACAATCCACCTTACATTCGACACCGATGAGGCCTTCCGTAACGCCCAGGAGCAGACGAGAGACTCCCTCAATGCTACCATAGTCACATCTCACTATGGATGCCAGGAGCCAGACGCCCGGAAGACCTTCAAGGTCAAGGAAGTGTCGTACCATACCGAGACGCGATCAATCAAGTTCGAAGCAGCCAAGCGGCCCCTTCGGGATGTCTTCCGCACTCTCTCCATTGAGTTTGACCAGACGAACGAGCACCACGTCCATCGCTCGATCGACGAGCGAGACCGTCTCAGAAGACGACAGGCATCCCCCACCACGTTCACTGAAAATCCCATGGCGGGCGCCTGGGCGCCCCTGCCGAGCGGGACGGCGACCGACAACCAACCCAGGACAACCGACTTGAACTGGTCTCTCATCAATAAGACGTTGGACCTCCCGAACATTTCGGCCTGGAAATTCTACCTGTGGGCCGTTGTCGGATGCAATAACTGCACGCAGACGGGCACCGTCAGTTTCTCGCACGGGAAATTCGACCTCAACCTCGACCTCCTGGACTGGGCGTCGAACCCGAACAAGGCCAATCCCCTGACCGAGGGATGGGTGCAGATGGACTTGAAGGAATACTCGCTCCACCTGGACATGTACGCCATTGGCCACGGGGGCCTGTACTGGATGAACTTCCTGTCCAACGCGACCCTCCCGCACGACGGCTGGAAGATCGAGGGGATCGGCTGGGTCGGCCTGCAGTGGGCCCCGGCGATCATCACGAGTCTCGACTTCGCGTCGCCCACGAAGTACGGCTACGGCGTCGATGTCAAGATCCCCAACCTGTCTATGCGCGTCGATGTGGGCAGCCTGAACGCGAGCACGCAGGGCTTCGAAGACGCCGAGGTCACCCCTCATGGGATGACTTCGAACACGACGACACCCCAGGTGAAACTCGCTGTGAAATTCGTGCCGCGCATACCACTCACATTCAAGCTCGGCGTCGACTACGACGAGGACGGGATGCCCGAGCCCAGCGGCGGAATCGGCTTCTACGTCGGCACCTACCTGTTCCTGCCCCTGCTGGACATCACCATGGAGCCGGGCTGTCCGTCGCTGCCCTACAACGGCACCACCGGGAACGGTACGAATGCCTGGAACGGCTCGGACAGCCTGAGCACGCGACCCGACGCCGCCGTGGCGCAATTCAAGCCCCGGATCTCACTCAGCGGCGGCATCGAGATCATCTTCGAGTACCGCCTCGACAACATCGACCCGGGCGCCTTCACGCGCATCGAGCTGGCCGGCGTCACCTCGACGTTCCCGCAGGTCTGCTACTCGCTCGAGACCGGGGTCGGCACGTGGGTCCCGTTCTCGACCGAGGGTGATACGAACACCCATCTTGTGGGTTGGAATCCGTCGACGACGACGACGACGGCTACTACGGATACGACGGTTCACGTTAGGACGGCGGCGCCCCCGACTCAGGCTCCTAGGGTGACTCCTGGGCCCTGATGGAGAGTTATGATGATGGCACGTTTTCTATACTGTTTGGCAATGGTTGGTTTGCATTTTCATGTTCATTGTTTCGTGCCACCTGACATAGATTCGGTTTTCCGCATTGGTAGCAATCGTCCGTTTTGGCTCAACTGCATGTAGAATACAAAATATCCCAGATATAAAGATTTATTTCCGCAAATGTCTCCTTGCCTTTTATGAATGCCTACGAGGTGTGATTCGGGCGTGTTGTACCGTGTCAACAAATCAACACATAGACACCAGACTTCGGGAAATGCATTGCGTGATCATCTATTTGAGTCGGTTGCAAGCCTTGCCACATTTCGGCGTCAGACGGCTCGGACCAAAAATATGGAGTTTTCCAGGCGAAAGGCGATGAGATACCCGAAGTGCAACCACTTCATCTGGAAGGCTGGGTCCCTGAAGTGCGAAGGAGTTGATTGCAGTTCAGAGCGGCAGCGCCTTCGATGCAAAGGCAAAGCGTGCCTTCTGGATGATAGCTGAGTGATGGCACCACGGTTCCGCGCCTCGAGGGCCACGACCTGGCGATGTCTAGTTGTGCCGAACAGGGCGGCTGGCAGTACGGGAAGTTGACCGTGAACAATTTCATTATTGCCGCAGTGGTTGACCCTGATGATTGAAATCAAGGGCAGTAAGATCGATGCTGACTGGCATTGGTACCCATGTGTCGGGTAGCAAGGGATCTAAGTACGACATTCTAGGAAGGAGGCGATCAGGACAACACATGCATCATTTAATCATGGGTATCTCATTAAGCTCTTCCGCATGACCTCCCTGTTTCTCGTTCCTTCATTCCTTTCCCGCCAATGTTGGGGATGGCCGCCAAAGATGAAGTGAGTTCGGAAACCAAGCTTCTTCCATGCCATGTCTCGTTGACACTATACTCTAGGTTGAAGAACTTCTCGCCTCTGTGCACTCTTTCTCTTCATCGGTTCTTGCAACTGCTTTGTGTTCCGTACCGCTAGCACCCTTGCCTACTCGGACTCAGTCCGCAGGTTACTCGACGGGCCGTCGACTTCATGCGGCTTCCAGACGGCCTCGATGATGCTCATGCGACATCCCATCGGTCTCGTGACGCCCTAAGAAAAGGCAATCAGTCAGCATCCCATCCTTAACTATCGCAACACCGTTCTGGACACCTCAGACCAAATAAGAGACAGACTCACCTTGAACACGAACCCCTCGTCCGCCATCTCAAACAGCCGGCGAAACGCCTCTTCATCGCGCTCCTGCGCATTCAGCAGCGTCATCATAACAAGGTCCATGCCGCGCACAATACGCTCGTCCCAGGGCTCCTCGGCGCCCGGCTCGCGCAGACAGTGGTCGTTGACAATAACGCGCGCGCCGGGCTTCAGCGCCGGCACCAAACTCCTCAAGATCTGGACCGCGTACGGCGTCGAGTAGTTGTGCATGATCCAGCGGAAGAAGTAGACGTCGGCGCCTTGGACAGTTTGCTCAGTAAAGAAGTCGTGCGCCTGAAAACTAATACGCCGCGCGACCTGCGCGTCGGCGCTGAGCGGCGAGGGCGCGCTCTCGACCGTCTGGGGCAGGTCCTGTACCACGAAGCGCAGGTTGCGGTGCTTGAGCGCCAGGTCCACGCACACGAAGCCGTGGCTGCCGCCGACATCTACAAAAGTGCCGCCGCGCGCGTCGGCCTCGCTCAGGTCGCACCCCTCGACCAAATACGAAATCTCGTAGCCCTCGCCGCCCGTGAGGGAGCTCATGGCCTGGCCCATGCGCTTGGCGCGCGCCGGGTCCCGGCCGAACGTCACGAACATGGGCTCCTTGTCGACGGTGTCGTGCGCGAAGTTGAAGCCCGTGCGCGTGAGGCTCATCGCTTCCGGGTGCCGCGTCAGCGCGTCGACGACGCGCGCCGAAGAAGGGTAGATGTCCTCGGTGTTGAAGCCGACCCAGGCCTGCAGGGCGTCGTCCTCGAGGAGAAGTCGCGAGGCGGCCGTGTGGGCGATCACGCCCGGCGAAGGCTCCTGGAAGATGTGATTGGTGATAGCGTAGCGGATGATGCGAGCTAGGTTGATGGCGTCCAGGGTCGTTTTGGCCTGCAGTTCCGGCAGTGTGATGCTCCCGTCGACGGGAACCAGCTTGGCTGATTACTTATGTTAGTCGAGGAGTAGAAGGAGAAAGAGAGTACTTGAGCTTACGAATCCCATATGAGTTGATCAGTTGGAGGCACTGGGTGCTCATGAACTACGTGGCCGATGCGTTAGTGTGTATCCTCCTTTCAATATCGGACCATTTCAGGCCGATACATCTTTCGGCTTCGTATTCAGTACGAGTCTCGAGACTGGTCACAATCCTGGTGCGCGCAAAAGTGAGAAGTGGCTGCAACTTACATCCCAGGCCATCCACCGAACGCTTTCTCTCGGTCCGACCATGAGATCATGAAGCTCTTGAGTGGCTTCGATGACTTCTCGGCGGCATCTGGAAACGTCTTCCGGCAACTTCGGGAAATCATCCGGTGAGTCGACCTCGAAACTCGGCATCGGCCAGCCGCGCTTCTCGAAGTACGCCTCAACCTTTCCCGTTTCCGTGGCGATCTGCTGAGCCAGGGCACCAATCCTCGAATGGCTTGAAACCGAAGGCTTTCCATTGGGATGCGATGGCCGCGAGATACCGTTCTGCGCCCCCATGGTGTTGTGCTTTTCGTGCTTGTCTTTCTCGATTTCTGGTGTTGTGGGAGGAGAGTAGTTGCCGCTGGCGGTGTCCATCTCCGGCTTCGCTGTCGGTGACAGCTGCTGCAGCCAAGTAGCTAGAATGTGCCGAACCATGTTTAGGCAAAGCATCTTAGCGATGTAAAAGACGCTGCCGCCCAGGGAATTGTGCACAATGGTGGACTCAGGGTTGCCCCCCAACGAAGTGAATGGGACGCACTATAGACAATGGAAAGGGGTGCTCGGCGGTCAATGCGCCAGCAACCAAAGACAATGAAGTATAGTATCCCAGTAACCAAAATGAAATGAAAGCTGCTTGTCACAGCGCAATGGCACAGCCTTTCAATGCTGAGCCCTAAGCCACGTGTGTTAGGCGTGGGCTGAAGCCCTGGATGCAAAGGCCGATCGTGTCAGATTCCCAAGTAGCACTGAGCCGGTGAGATTGCGATACTTTTAGCTTCTCCCATTCAACGACCCGCATGGACCCTGACGTCCCAATTGAATTGTATGACACCAGCCGGTGATCAAACCACTCTGACGAATATCAAGTGTCGGCTCCAACACCCAATTCAACACCCAATTCAACAACCAAATGCGACCAGTCGTGACTCGTCAGGTCTCTTCGGAAGATGGTGATGATCCGTACCGTAGAACTAAGTGCCCTCCGAGACGAGACCGGGGGTACGACAGTGAAGTGAACAAGCTTATGGCCTCCGGATAGAAGCTGGTCTTGAACGCAGGGCTGAGGGCCGTGCCGGTCGAGACAGCAGCAATTGACAGCGAACTGACAGCTACCGAGGCCTCGGTCTCGGGTCGTCGAGGCGCGCTCGCTTGTGGGGTGTAACACGGCAGATAGACCAACGACTGAACCGGTTCGTCCCAGTACCACGGTCGGAGGACGTCGGGCTAGAGGGGATGTGGCATGGACAGGCCCGACAAGAAGGATGGATGAAAGACACACAGGACGTGAGTATTGCCCCGCCGTATGACCCGAACGTGTCTTGGATTCTGTTGGGTTGGGGTGTTGGGGAGACGGGAACTGGGTACCCAACGAGAAAGAGTCCTCAGTCCTGGGAGCTTTACCCTGGCAGGCGTGGGGGCAGGATATGTTGGTGGGCAGTGCAATTCGGAATCCGTATGCGGTAGTCGGACGCTGTTGTGGGGGGAGATCAGCTGCGGCTATCCTTTTTCTTCCGGCTGTCTGCAATGTTCCGGGTCGAGGTGCAGTTACACCTCCCTATATAGCTCGTTGAGTCGTTATACGCCTTCCTACCCAGGTCCCAATCCCGAGAGAATGTTAGCTGGATGAGAATTGAGAAACATGGGGAACGAACATGTTGGTTCGACCGAGGAGGGCAGGGCAGTCCTTGGATGTCACCTCGGTGTGTAGGCTAAGGTAGCCGACACCGACACCGCCATTATGGCTATACTACTGCCGTTTCAGCAAACGCGGGAACGGCATATGAACCCATGCCGCCATGCCGCCATTTCCCCATTTCTCGGGACTTCCTAGTGCTGACCCTGGCGTTCGTAGAGCCGTACATACTTGCCGTCTTACCGCATTTCCTGATAAGGAGACGTGAGAAAATGGTAATGACAGGTAAGACCGAATTCCGTACGGAGTAAGCACTGCGAGGCAAGGGTCTGTGTCAGAAGGCCAACCATATGGGGGGGGTAAATCTTGTTATTCTGCAGAGAGGCGCAGTACTAATCAGTTGCGGAAGCCCCGTATATGTACTCGAATGGTTCCTTGGTTCTCTACGTGCTTCCCGACAGTCTCGGCTCCAGGAAAGAGCTTCTCACTGCTCGTCAGGGTACGATGCCTCACACCAGCTCTGGACAGGAATACAGAAGGATATGTACTTTAGACGAGAGAAACTCTAGTCAGACTTCAGCATAGACCTCCGTTCACCAAGTACGTGCACTCATCCCATGACACGAACATCGCGAGACCTGTTGACCTCCATCCCTCCCCTTCAAAGCATTGCTAGTGCAACCAAGTATATGATAATTCCCCATGGCGTCTCCCGGTCCCCCAACCATTCACATCCTCAAACGAGCCGACTACTCCCAGCCCCGCCTCGTCACCCTTCCCGACTCGCCGGGCCCTCTCCCGCCCCTTGCCCCGTCCTCCCTCCGCCTCCAGCCCAGGATCCTCGGCTGAACAGCCAGCAAACTCACATATACGCGCCTGGGCCACCTGCTGAACTGGTGGTCCATCTACCCCTCGCCGCCCACCACTACGCCCGCCCTCTACAGCGACGGCGCAACTTACGGCCGCATCGGCGCCCCATCACAGCCAGCACCGTCCCGGCCATCACAGCCGGCGCCACCGTCTCCCGCTTCCTGCCCATCAGCACGCAGCCCGAGGGCGTGCAGTTTGCATCCACGGGCATGAAGAACCAGCTTCTCGTCATCGTGGACGCCCACCGTCGGGGCCTTCGGCCCATCTACAGCTGCACCCGCCTTTCGCCGAGCTGGCGAAGACAAAAGGGTGGCAGAGCCTCTTCGGCACCGCCTACCTCATCACCTACGGCTTCGCCTGGGCCGCCGAGCGACGCATCCACCCCAGCGGCAGCGGCAACAACAAAGAATGGACCGCGCAGACGCGACCCTGGACGGTAACTTAGTGCGACAATGGTCGTGGTAGTCCTCAAGGCCAGCGGCAAGACGGACCTGTGACTGTCATCCGCATGGGCGCTGCGCAACGCGCGGCCGGCGGAGCACCGACCCAAACAGTAAACCGATCATCGGCGTCGGGTCGCCGACTTTGCAAGTCTTGCTCCGGACGTGCGGGCCCTACGATGAAGTCGCGTTTCATGGTGCCGCTGCTGCTACTGCCACCAGAGACATCGTCGTCGAGGGTTAAGTCCGATAGCACCCGCCGCGTCGTGGAGGGCGAGTTTCGAGTCATCAGGCGTGCCTTGTACCTTCCTGCTCGTCGGGGCCGAGGTCCAAACACAAACCCCAGACGTGGCCACCAGGCGAATGGGCGAGTTGAGCACACACTACATTAGTATATCCTGGTTAACGGGGACGCGCTGCGCGAAGAGGCCATCGCGGCAGCTAGTGGCGAGGCGTACTTTGACGAGTTCGACGCCGTGCAAGAAGAGCAGTGGTGGCGTCGTTTTTGGCGCTGGCGTCGTAGAGCTGCGGCGGGAGGAGGAGCATAGAGCCTTGGGAGCTGCGAGGGGGTCTGTTAGGAGGCGCTGTGTAGAGACGAGTTTAAGGCTGGAACGGGATGGGGTTGGTATACCGCATCTAGGCTAGCAGACTGCAGACAACGAGTAGTTGGACTGGCGGTGAGTAACGAATAGATTAGCGAGAGGCATGATGATGAAGTTCTGACCTACTTAAGTACCTACCTTAAGCAATGTCTTCCCGTGAAAGCTACGATGGGGGTGGCATGTTTCTCTATCGACAAATCAGGAAACCTGCCGAGGGGAACAAACCAGCCAAACCAAGCTGGTAGCTTCGTAAAACGCGCGATCTATGAATCCGGAGAAGACAACCTCATACGAGTTGACCTGTGGATTGCAGGTGCAGCCAAAGCCAGGCCGGTCTCGGAGAGACTTATGTAGGTGGCAGCAGGCCATTTCCTGCAGGTCGCACAGCACAGCTGCCAGCATATGCACATTGCCTTTCATCATTTACCGCGTACGGAGATTACTCATCGTGTTGGTTACCCTCAGCTGCCTGCAACGTGATATGCTTCTCGGTATGCGATGATCGAGTCTACGGCTCATTCCGGCTTCCTATCCCAGTCTCCTCTCGGCCTGTGTAACAATCTGGGGTCTGGTAGCTGAATCAATCCCGCACCCGCATCCGCATCCTGTGCCTGCCTGCCTTTCATTCATCGCCGACAGCCAATAGCTGCCAGCCAAGCCCGTGAAGCCGAACGTGACTTGCAGGTATTCATCTCCCCGGAATACCACGGGACGATCGGATGCCACCGTCGTAGGTGGCGGGTGGCAGTTGGGCGGGGAAGGGCAGCTCCCATGCGGCTGGTGCAACTATGCGTCGGCAATACATTGATTGGCATGACCTGCATTGAACATCACATGCAGGGGAGATTTGGGCTTGGCCAACGGCCGAGTCGGAAATCATGGCTTTCGACTTCTCGACTTCGGATCGTAGAGCCCCCGTCCAGGTGTGAATAACGTCACTTTGGCTGCATGATGGATGAGAAGCCGCATTGCGCATCCAATGAGACTGGTATTGACACGCTGCCTCTCACCTCTCACCGCGCCTTCGGCTGTCTCCATGAGTGCACCCACTGTCACACGCTTCCCCTCACAGTTCAAGACGTCGACGAGATCGCCACCGAGGCCATTTGTGGCATCCCGTGGTCCCGTGGCATGGCAGTTTGAGCAAGCTAAAGTTTTAGGCGTAAATCGAACTCCATTTAATGATTTCCCTTTCCGGCGACAAGTCTTCGTTTCCTCCAATGGGAATAACTTCCCTTGTGCACTTACACTAATTAGAGTCTTTGGTGGGTACCACAGCATCAACCTTCCGAGATGCTGGGGCAATAGGGATCCCCAAGTTATCTTCTCTCAGTAGTTGTGCTCAGGTTTCTGCCCGTAGACACAGACAAGGGGCATGAACATGAGACACGAGTTGTCATGATACGCCTTCCTGACCGTAGCCAGGAACGTCTCGACCTGTTCCACCCTCCACCGCAGGCCTCTGGTCATGGGCCCCAAGGCAATGGCCTGCACGCCGTCGAGGAGGATCGTCTTCCAGTAGAGCCCGACGCTCTTCAGCTTCTTGTTACGAGGCCAAGTTCCGATGGGGACGTGGAAGATCTGCTCCGTCACGTTGATATATCCGCACTGCCGCATGAGCTCGGCTATTCGACCGCCACTGGCGAATTTGAAGTTGACGCCCAGTTCCGCGAGTCCCTCGTTGATGAGTCGCCAGTACTGCGCCACTGGGTGGTCTGGCGTCATACTGTCGTTGGTGCTCATCGGGAAGTGGTTTATCTCTTGCATCTCGACCCATCCTCCGGGTCTCAAGTGCCTATGGCATGGCTGGTTAGCTTCCAGAAGCACAGGCGATGTACTGCCGTAGGACGTTGATTGCACTCACTCGTGAGCTCTTCTGAGAAGTCTGTCCCAGTCCTTGATGGCCATGACGGTATGCCTCGAATGGATGTAGTCAAAGTGATTCCTTGGGTGAAGCCACGGACTCTCCACATCGTCGACCATGAACCGCACGTTTGGGGGCACCCAGTCCGGCTGTATGGGACTTAGGTCTATGCCCAATACGTTGGCGCTTGGGTAAGCGTCGCCCACTGCGAAGACGATGGTCAGCGTCTGGCGGTGATGCTCTGCCGCGAAATGAATTGAGCAGAAGGCAACCTACTTTCAATCGCCCATATGCCAGTCCCAGTCCCGACATCCAATACCTCGTGCGGATTCAATCCGATAGGTGCAAAGTGCAACTTCTGAGTAAGCATCTTGACCATGGCATGCTTCATATCTTCGCGCTGCTGCTCAACATCGTCATTCGGGAAGTTGTAGCGACCTTCTCTGAACTTGTGGTATCTCCTGCCGTTCTCGTAGGAGTAGTCCCACATGCTTGAGGCGATAGAAGTCGACGCCGTCGTGGCCGTATCCGACTCGTAGCCAGCGTCTGTTACCGAATCCATGTCAGCGACAATTATCCCAGCCTCTACCTGCTCAGCGGCGTCAATATCCTCCTCCGCCTGCTCTGCCCCTGTCAACTCCTCGTATGCAAGCTCACAGCTGGTGGTCGGATCCAGGTGGGGGATGGAAGAAGACAGTTTTGGTAACACCAAATCATCTAGGCTTGCAATCGCGGTGTGGTGATCAAAGTCGTGTGCTGAGAAATCTTCAAAGGCGCGCTTCCTAGTAGAAGACAAGTGCGCTATGGAAGCTACCGGTGGCGTTGATAAAACATCTGGAGAACGTGAATCTGCACGGGGCGGTTCAAATGAGCGGAATCGAAAGGGTTCGCCTCTCGTGTCATCAGTGCGTGGTACAGGTGCAACACTTGGAGGCTCAGGTCGAAGAGGAGGCCGCGGAGAGTCGGAGCGTTCGATGTCTTGGCTTCCAGTTGGATCAGGAGGCTGGTAGGGGTCCTCTGCTATATCATAGTGAGACTGGGGACGTTGAGATGCATGTTGTAGGCCTCCGCGGATGATGATGGTTTCGCCGTGACCCAAGTCGGCCATTTCTCGCAGAAGAAGAGACAGTAACGGAGCACAAGCGAGGGACTGGGTGTATTTCAAAGCTCGCGACAGCTGGGCTGGGGGCAGAGCTGTGATCTGAGACATTCACGCGATGACGGCGATAAGTAGACTGGCTACCTGGTTATCGATCGTGGGACATGCAAGGATTCGCCAGCGAAGCCCCAGGAACGAGCGGGATGCCAGATGGGTCTGTGTTTGTGTCACGAGACGAGAGACGAGCGACGGATGGAAACTTGTTGACAAGACCATCAAAAAGAGGCCGGCAACAGCTCAGACGGGCGGCCGCATGCGTAACGGGCGGTAGCGGTCTGTCCACGGGTAGCGGGCGAGAGGCGACGTGCGGTCGACTGTGCGAGTGGAGGTAAGTGAGTGCTGGTGCAGTGATGCCAGATTCGCAATCGGTGCGCAACAAGACACAATCGACTATGTAATCAGCAGCGGCAGGGCCGAGGGTCTGACGAGATGCGGCAAGGTCAGAGGCGGTTTGGCTTGTTGGTGGTGGATGGTGGATGGTGGATGGTGGATGGTGTTTCTGACGGATGTTCTTCGGCTCGGAAATGGCAGATACATAAGGGGCGAAACGCCTCCCACCGATGAGGCTGCCAGGTACCTTACTGGCCTCCCTTTTCTTGTTGTTAGCTGCAGGTTTCCTTTCTTTTTCTGACAGGTCACCTGTCGTTGCGAGTGTAGATTGACGCGCCGTTTCCGAAGATGATCTACCTGCCAGGGATCAATGAAGGGGAAAGGAACATTCTCTCGGGCCGCCGACCTGCAGCCGAGATTAGGGGCATTGCGTCTTGCAGCTTGCAGCGTGTAGCTACTACCTCACCAACGAAAGCAGCATGTATGTCGCCGCTTCCTTGCCTTCAATATTACCGTACTCCTCTGCTTCTTCCCCGCTCCTGTTCTTGCCGCTTCAGGTTGCAGGTGACTTCCCACCCCGGAAGCGCGAATACCTAATGTAACCGTCGAATGTTACGTTGAGGATGAGAGGTCAGGGCAACGACCACATGGCCGATCAGTGACCATCTCAAGGGTTCGCCGACAATACCACCATGAATCGACACCGGATAGTGGTATACCATACTCGCAGTACATGGCACAGAACACAGCTATTCCGTCCGTTCTGCGGCTCCGTGTTTGCTCGTATTTATGGAACCCTCTCGCGATTGGGGAGAATGTCAGATTGCTCGGCTGGCTGCAGCCGTTCCTGCTCCGGCACTGGGCATGGCGCCCCTCGCTTTCGCTACCCTTTAGGCCATGTGACACGTGTTTGCCAAAAGTTCAACGGTTCCTTATTCAGTCAGTCCTGAGTAATGGTGTGCGACGTCAACGGTCGGACCAGAATACACCCACCCGGGCAGGGCAGAAGACACCCGTGACCTGGGAAGGGCAGGAAGACTGCCGGATGGGCCGGAAGGACCGAGTCTGCGCCCAGAGCTGTCGGCCTTCAAACCCGACCTACTTGTTACCGACTGAGTGGTAGACGTTGGAACTAGCCGGCTGACATATGTACGGAAATAGGTACCGCACAACGACAGCCGTTCTATTGGCGTCTGTTGGTTTGGGAACTTTGCCAATCTGACCACACCAACATCCACGTCATGCTTGGATACGGTGTACAAAGCAATGATACTCGGACTATGTGCCGTCGAGAAAGATTGGCCATTGAATGCAAGGGACGAGAGTTGTGGACGGGAGTTTGTAGGTGTGGGATGAAATGGTGACTCCGAGGCAATGAAAGGGGCAGGCGCGCAAGGCCTCACCACCTGCGCCCATCGATGTGGAAGTAGCACTCGCACGGCATTCAATGTTCAAAGCAGGAACAACCAACCTTAATGCCCAACAATGCAGGCCCCACCTTCGAATGGGTGCATCTGCCCATTGCTCGCAGCTATCAAATGGTCTGGAGGCTGGAGGCTGGAGGCTGGCCACCTTCTGGAGCAAACATTGTACCACCACCTGCTACCAACGCTGAATTGCATTCTCCAGTGACGAGCACTCTAGCATCACAATCACGTCGCTTTGCTGTCTCAACCCAACATTGAGCCCGGACGCCGTCTTGCCCACACATCTCTAGCATACCTTGTCTCGGATTACAACGGCATCGTCGTCGTCGTATCACCCCAGCAGCCCACGTTGAACCGAGAAGCATCAACAGCCCTCCGCGCATCGCCCGTATGAAATACCAAATACCGCCAACATGAAAACCCTACTAGCATGGGCCCATCCGATCGATAGCTGCACGACGGGAGGCCAGAAGGGCTGGCACCGGCGCATCCGTCGCTTCATCGCTATTGCCGTCGTCGCCTGCCTCTCTGTGACCGCGCTCCTCGCCCTGACCTCCAGCTACCACCATTACGATGCCTTCGGCCACAGCTACAACACACGAAACACCCAAGGTCCAGCTGATAGACGGAAACCGCCCGCGAGTGACGGTCCTGGTCGGCCGGAATATTTCCAGTGGGAAACAAGTAGCTCCTTCAGCCCCGTCGCGCAGGATATCAAGGGCGCGTCTTTGGAGCAACTGTGTCGCTCATTCCCAAAGCATATCCTACAGAACTCAGTCCAGCCGATATTGAGAATGAGTCACGGACAGGACTCAAACAAGATCAGGGCCCAGTTCGAAAGCGTCTCAGCATGCATCGACAACCTCCTAATATTCTCCGACTCCGGCGAGCTCATCCACGGGCGTGAGGTGGTCGACATCCTGAAGGACTTGCCGGCCGCATACCGGTTCAAAAACGCCGACTTCAAGAACTACACCATCCTACGAAACCTACACCCCAAGCCTCAGATCCGAGCCAACGCCACTGACGAAAGCCGGACGATCGATGGCCGGACCCTGGATGCCTACAAGTTCCTTCCCATGATCGAGCGCGCCTGGGAGACACGACCGTCGCAGAAGTGGTACTTCTTCTACGAGACGGATACCTATGTGGTCTGGGACAACCTTTTCCGCTTCCTGGAGAACCTCGACCACGAAACACCGCTCTACATCGGAAGCGCCGCGCCGGAACGGTTAAAATACCCGGGAAAGCCGGAATCTGCGACCTGGTTTGCGGACGGGGGACCGGGGTTCGTGCTGAGCCGCGCTGCCATGCTTAAGCTGCTTCACCGGAAAGTAGGCAAGGATGGCGACTATCTGGAGCCGCCGCTGAGCCGTCGCTGGCTGGACCTCATGCGCCGGGATCGTCGCGGGGATCGGATCTTGGGTTGGGCCCTACACGATGTTGGGATCAGGTTGTCCGGATTTTGGCCCATGTTTAACCCCCATTCTCTACAGAGCATTCCCTTTTCCCAGGCCTATTGGTGTCAGCCCGTTTTGACTTTGCACAAGACGAAGCCTGAAGAGATGGTGAAGTTGTGGAGATGGGAGCACAGCAGACGGAAAGTCGGGGTAAGCGCTCCAAGGCTTGAGTTCCCTTCTTTCGTCCTCCAGTCCATCGTTTCAACGGCTTCGTCGAGAGGAATACCACTAACCTTTATCGTTTAGAGACCGCTTATTTATCGAGACCTCTACGACTTCCGCCACAACGACCGACAAGTCTACCGCGAAGACTGGGACAACACTGGGTGGGATGGCTACAGGGGACCGCGCGTGAACTCGTTCGCGGCGTGCGGTAAAGCATGCGGCGAGGACCCGGAGTGCTTCCAGTACAACTGGCACATGGGCGACTGCATGTTCATGAGTTCGATTCGATACGGCGAGCACCGAGGTCCCAAGTTGTCCGCGAACGCGCTCATGCGTCTCCAAGGAGAAATAGGGAAAGAATGGACATACGAGCTGTCGCGCTACATGAGCGGATGGATGTTGCCCAGCATCGACAAGTGGTATCAAGAACAGCAATGCGAGGCGGTGCAGTGGGTGCGGCCCAGCTTGACGAGGGTGTATTAGCTCGTGGGCGTCACACCAACCAGAAACCGTTGAGAAGACACCGCTGCGAGTATTTTGGAGTGGTGCTATTGTTTGGACGGGCTCAGTTGCCGTACCTATGTTATATAAGGTCCTGTTGGATCTGGGCAAGCTGTCCATAAGCCCTACAATCACCAATGAGGAGAATGTGTCTTAAAAACACGCTATTTCCGGTAGTCTGGTATGGTCTGCAGTAAGGCTCGGGTTCTGAAATGATGAATAAAATAATGACTGACATGCTGACATGGGCAGAGTAGGTGTCTTGTTGAGAGGACCTCGGGAGTCTCTTGGAATGAGCTCTCGGAAGAAGCTAACCCCTGAAATTGCCCCTGAAGCTGCCCCTGAATGCGGGGGACGAACCCCACCATCGTCAACGTCATTCTCTTCTCCCCCCAGCAGAGCTTTACCCGGCCGAGCAGACTCAGGCCATTCTCTACATGTACGCTTCACGGAGAGACAGGCAGACAAGTCACAACTCTGATGGCACGAAGCAGAGCCGCCGCCAACGGCAACAAGGCCTTCCTCTACTGCGAGGGCTCGCCTTCCTGGAACCCAGACGCCTACGCAGCCGACACGGCGCTGCAAGCGCGCGCCGAAGAACAATTATCGAAGGACGACCTGCAGTCGGCCATCGCGACGTCGTTCGCCCTGCGCCGTAATGATTCATATGTTTACCACGCCATCGTCAGCGTCACGCTACCGCAGGTCCAGCACGTGGTCTCGCTGGGCGGCGCCAATGGGCTGCATGCTTGGTACCGCACCGCCGCCGCTCCTCCCCCTTCTGCTCCCAAGAACGACGACGACGACGGCGGCAACGGCAATTCGACCGCGACCGCGAACGCGAACTCGGAGTCCTACGATGCTACGACCTCCTCCACAGACCCGCGACCAAACCCGAATTCGACTTCCAAGCCACCACAACCACAACAAAGACAACAACCACCGCCCGCCCTCCCGCCGCCCCCGCAAGCCGACATAGAAACCTACCTATCCATCTTCTCCCCTCTGACCTCGACCCCCTCCGCGCTCAAGACCTTCTCCTCCAACGCCAAGAAGGGCTCCTTGCGATCCGAAATAGCTCATTACCTGCTCTCGAAGCGTTACATTCACCCCTCCCTCCCAGCCCTCGCCACCCTTTCCAAATCCAAGTGCAAAACCGCGCCGCCGAACCCATACCTCACGTTTTTGTCCTGGGCGTGCCGCAACCTCGAGTGGGCCGGCCCAAGCCCGAGCTCCGCGGGTCGCAGCGGCGGGCACCACGTCCTGCCGATACTGATGCACCACTTCGGGTGCGTGTGTCCGAGCCACGAGGCGCTGCAGATTTTGGTTTCGCTCGCGGACGGTAGGGAAGTCATTGATATGGGCAGCGGGAACGGGTACTGGACCTGGGCGCTGCGGCAGCAGATACTACACCAGAACCAAACACAACCCCAAAAACAGGGGAAGAAGAGCACACCCCCGACCCCGACCCCGACCTCAACCATAACCCCAGTCGACAACGCCCAGTCCAGCTGGCGCATAACCTGGGTCCCCGACACTTACACAGCAGACGGCCCATCCTACCTCCGAACCACCCGCCACGGCGCCCCCGACGCCGTGCTCCTCCTCGTCTACCCCATCGTCGGCGGCGGCGTGGCCGGCGGCCGCGAGGGCGGCTTCACGTGCGACATGATCGCCGCATATACGGGCAACACGCTCGCGGTCGTGGGCACGCAGAACCGAAACGGGTACACCGGCTTCCGCGACGTGAGCATGGACGAGTACATGGAGCGCGAGCACGGCGACGAGTGGACCAAGGTGGTGCAGGTGCCGCTGCCCAGCTTCCCGGGCAAGGACGAGGCGCTCTTCGTGTTCCAGAGGGGCGAGAGGGCGCCCGCGAGGATAAAAGGAGAAGAGGTGGAGAAAAAGGGCAATACTGAGGATGATAAACCAGGAGAGAAGGAGTAGACAATATTACCCGTGAGTCTTGCCCGGGTCTTTCTTGTACATCATGTCCCACGCCAGGACGGGCTTATTCAGGGGTATGTATAAAACTCAACAATGCCGCCGGCGATGTGTAGGTACAGTCTATCATACTCACCCGTCGGAATGCAGTTTATAGAGACAAAGTAGTTGTATTGCAAGTGAGACGGCTATCTGATCTAGCTGACTGCGAAACTGCCAACTACCAATCACACCGAATCGCCACCATCATTGCTACCAGGTCTATAGAAACCTAGGAAATCGAACAAAATCGGCAAGTATTCCCCAACCACTATCTTTGCAATATGGTCGGAAGTGACGCATACTGATGTTGTGATGTGAGCAATCGCGGTCGTGGTCTGATTTTGAGGACAGGCCCTTCAAAGTCCACACAATTACCGAACAAATCGAAAACTCTGGGTTCCTTGGTAAATTGTCGCAGAACGAAAACGTGCCAAGTTCCCAGTATTGTCAAGATTTCGGTGTTGAAAGTCTGGGTGACCATGGGATGAACTCTGCAGAACATAACTGCCGCAACAACTCGAGGTGGTGTGGAGGAAACAGATTAATGTGCGCCTGGCAAGCGAGTCTCCAAATCGCTGCGGACTCAGGCCGAAACCATCCACAGTTCTGTTGGAGGCTGTAGGAACTGGGTGAAAGCTGACAGGTAGTCGGAGAGCGCGCTTGGTGCCGCGTACTCGTGCCGCTGCCGTGAGGATGTTGAAAACAACCTCGGTGGCGTAGCATTACTCCAATGGACGGGTGAAGGAAAAGAAAAGTCAGAAGTGAGAATGGATCTGAATGTCAAGAACACGCAGATACACGCCAGGGCCTAGGAGGCTGGAATAGGACCCGACAGCATCTGCGTCAATATGGCGGCAGTAACTGTTTCGCGAACGAAGACGATTCCAACAGTGTTTTTCGTTGCCGATGGGAGCTCTTGTATGAGAACCGTGAGTTTATCAGATACCTCAGATGCGTGCTCCTCGAGTGGCTGTGGCTATGTATCTTCCTTATCTCCGCAAGTAGAGACACAGGCCAGTCTGTTTGGGAAGAACTGTGTTTTGACACCCATGTCACACTTACTTCCGAAGGCGCAAGTGCGGCGGAGTTCGGCGAGGCATCGGCGGAGCCGTATCCTGCTGCTTGGCCGGAGTCGCGGGAATGCTCTCACGAATTTCCCCATTCTGCTTCAGGGCTGGTGAAGTTCTCAGATGAGGAGGAGCCCATCTACCAGCGGGGCTCGCACCAGATGTTGCTTCAGCGATCCCCTGCTCGACCTCTGAAGCTTCCTCGGCGAGATAACAACCAGCGTTGACGCCGTTCGTGGATGCTGTGGTTCTCAGATGAGGAGAGCCCCATTCATCAGTGGAAACCACACCGGATGTCGTTTCCGCAATGTTCTGTTTGGCTTCTGAAGCTGGCTTGGCCGTGGTTTTGGGGTTTCTCAGATGAGGAGGAACCCATCCTCCAGTGGAACTCGCACCGGATGTCGTCTTTGCAGTGTTCTGCTCGGCTTCCGAAGCTGGCTTGCTGAGATCAGCACCAGTGTTGAAGTCGACAGGCGCCATAGAACCAGGCTCGGGAGCCTCGTTTACGGTAATGGACGGGACCACGAAAGCAACAGAGGACTTGGCGATGTCTCTCATTTCCTCCTCAGCCTCTCTTACAAGCGCGCGTATCTTCTCTCTAACCTGCCCCATCTCAGAGATGAGAACGTCGCGGTGCTGCGCATCCGTCGTGGCAAGCAGATCCTGAAAGAGATGATCCTCATGAACCCGAGCGGCTTGGATTCGCTCCGCGATAGTAAGAGGCAGAGGGACTTCGATGTCCTCCGCGACAGGCGGTGGGGGAAAAGTGGAAAGTACAGGCATCGCCGACTTCGGTCGCGCCTCTTTCTCGCTCACAAAATTCTCTGCAGCTGGAGCGGCAACGTTCTCAGGCTTCTGCACCTCGTTTTCTTTGTCCTGCACTGGCAATCGCCCAGCGGCCATGCGCGTAGCGGCGACTTCAACGTCACCGTCGGTTTCCTTGAGAGCGTAGAGAATATCGGCATCAGACCACTCCGGGAAGAGTTCCTTGATGAGATCTAGCTTTTCGCCGAACTGCTTGCGCAGCTGGCCGACGTCGCCGTCGTCAAGGACTTCAAATCGCGGGACAGGCGAGGCAGGCGAGGCAGCAGATCCGTACAAGTCGAACAATGGCGCCGATGAGTTAGCAGGATGATCTTCTCGGCTGACAATATAATCGCCATCTTCATCGTCGGGCGCATAAGCCTTCTCGGGAGCCGCAATCCCCTGCACATCCCCAGCAGATGCCTTGGTATCATCCAGCCCTCGGATTGGCATGTCGATGGCATTGAGCCAAGCCGAGCACGTATCACGAAGCTCCGAGTCCATGACCAGCAGCTCGGCTTGCCGCAGTCTGACGCCATCAAGTACTGCAGCAAGTTAGCAAATCACCAACCAATCAGTGTGGAAGTGAGAGAACTTACGCTCTTTGATAAGCTTCACTGCCGTGTTCGCACCCTTGACATCACCAAGGTATCGAAGACACAGGGAGGCGCAAACGTAGTTCGCGTAGCTCTCTAGGCGACGCTGAATCTTGCTCAGGTGGTTTGGGTTAATGCCAGGAGGCACGTTGGGACCGGGAATGTTGGATACGATTCCCTGGAACAAACCAAGCAAGAAGTACTGGTCCGCCGAAGAAGTGACGTCTTTCCAGCGCAGAAAGTTCCAGTCTCTGCAGCGATCTTCGTTAGGCTTATGGAGATTCAAGTACTGGACGATCATATCGGCGAGCACCGAGGTAGTTGCGCGATGCTCCAGGACATTGAAGATCTCATGGCAATCCAGAATTTCGGGCGCCACCGTGTTCATGAACTTTTCGAAGATCCTCTTGGCATTCTGACCAAAGCCAGTAGCCCAGTAGCCGGGCCACGCTTCGAAGGACTCTTTGATGAGGTGCTTGATGTGGTTCAGCTGGGACGATCTAGTACCGCCGAATGCAGTCCCCAAGAAGGCAAGATTGTCCTGATTAGACTGGGTAGCTCCAAGACTCTCGACCTTCTCCCATCTCTCCTTGATGGTGTCGAGCGAGGCGTGCTTGCGTTCCCCGATGAGCATGGCCCAGTCGTCCTTCTCAATATCGAACGAGAAAGAGTGGTCTTGGTGGTGGGTGCTGAACCTTCCCACAAGGTAGGACTGTACCTTGGTCTTGAGGTTGTCGATCCGGGTCCTCACTTCTTCAGATGGCTTCGCTGGGCCCGGAAAGCCCTCGTCAGCTTGGTCAACCTTCTCCGCGTCCAGCATTGGACACTTCCAGCCCAAGAACTGCTCGACGAGGACTTTGGCAAAGATACCGCCGAATTGTCTTGCGAGAAAGTCGGTTCGATCAGCATGCGTTGCAGTGGCTGGTGATCTGCAGAACGATGCATTGACTTGCCATCCAGCAGAAAATAAGGCCGGGGTAATGAGAATGGCCTCAATGTCTTCGCCAGCCTCGTTGCGAATCTCACTGTTTGTGCAGCGAGTAGCAGCCTCGACGTCGTGGCCACCTTGACCGCCTTGTCCAGTCAAGGAGCCCCGTTCAGACTTTATGTCCTGTTCTGCGCCATTTTCTTGTCCATCGTCGTTCTCGGGCCCGGTCTCGGTATCGTCAGTTGAGGACTTCTCGAAGAAAATGTCTTGCTCGAGCGAAGTAAGTCCGCAAACAATGATCACGAGGGGGTACTTGTGCTTCTTCACAATGGCAGCTTTCTCGCGAATGGCAGCAAGGAAGGCCGCCTTTAGCTGCTCGATGGAAGACACAACACGGGTGTTGTCCTCGCGATCAACGTCACCATTCTTCTGCTTGATGGTTGCCGTCTCGGAGGCGGGTCCAACAACTCGACGGTCCTTGCCATGGACGTAGCGTTCAGGATGCTCTCGGACAAGACCAGCAATGTCGGACTGGGATAACCAAGTTTGGGCTTTGGGGTGGTTTTTGCCATTGAGAAGGGTCCTGAAAGCGAGGAAGTCCGCAATGTGCCAACCCATGTCTTCCATACCCGCTCGGTCAGAGGGAACGGCACAGAGACCAACAATTCCGGAGTCGGGATGAATGTCGGGAAGGGCTTGGGTGACAAAGGTCGCGTCGAGAACTTCATTGGCGACCGTGATTGTTGGAGCAGGGGCAAATTCGCGCGCTGTGGCTGCAAGTGGCCGTCGCGACGAAGCCCGAGTAGGTTCTTCGGAGTGCGTGGCAGACATCTTCAATGTGGAAGGTCGCCGAGCAGGGAAGCTACAGGTCGGCAAACCGTTGTTAGCAACACATCGCATGTATTGACACGCGGATTGAAGTTGAATTGAATTAGCGTATGCTGGTAGTTCTTGTTGGGTGGTCTCGCGGTGTTTGACGCAAGCAACACTGTAGTACAGGCAAGGAAGGAGGTAGGTAAGGTACGCAGCAGATATGCATGGGCAATGCAGGCAAAGTGAGTGTATGTGCAGATTTGCTGTGGTGCATCGCGTGGGGTGGGATTGAGGTTTTGAGAAGAGGTCAAGAAAAGCAGGATAACTCACTGTGGGTGTATGGTTTCTCGATCGATGTTTCAACCCAGACGAGGTCTTGCTGGTTGTAGGACCTCGAATAATGAGGCTGTGCAGGTTGAAGGTAGGCAGTCCCTTGGTGGAGGGATATGTGCTCGAGGTTCAAGACTTGAACTTGAGTGTGAAAGGATGTTGGTGGGGGGGGGGGGGGGGGGGGGGGGGGGGGGGGGGGGGATGGATTCTCCCACCGGGTCTGGAATAAATAAAGGTTGTGTGCAGCATGCAACGGGGTGTGCCTGGCGACAGGTGTTGAGGCGTTGAGGTGTCGCCTGGGTGATGAGGGAAAGAGGCAGCGACTGCTCGATCTGCTGCAAGTACCTGATTAGAAGGCCAAGGCACCAACGGCGATCAGCAAGGAGTGCACTGCTTACCTTTGTCGATGTCAAGAGAAGTTCGAGCAGATGAACACTCGATGATGGTCGAAAGAAGAATCGCCGAGCAGCTTGACGAGTCTCGGCGTTGAATGTTGTGATCAAGATCGACAACCAACGTGGTGGGTTTGGGAGTGGTGCCTTTTTTGTTGCGGCAGACGTGACGGTACTGCCAAAGCAACACAGGCCTGGAACCAATTGGTGCTGTGTCTGCAGTCAAGGGCAAGGCATTGGGCTACATGCCTCAGGGAGAAATTAGATACGTCCTTCAACCCCTGGGATGTGTGATCATGTATTCTGACTGGACTTTCAAAAGGGCTTATATTCTTTCTGCCGGGAAATATTGGATATTAGTTGGTAGCGCTGTGTTTGTTTACTGCAGGTGCGTGCAGAATTTAAAGAAAGATTATGCATGAGAACCATCGATCTGTACTTGCTTCCTTTGAGGCGACCTTCATCTCGTTCGTGCCTGCCTCATGATTCCTGGGCCCTTTCATGCGATGCAAGGTACGTACCTTCCTCGCATGGAACCTCTGATACATGGGAGCTCGTCCAACATTCCACGTGGTATTCTCCGTCTTTAAGTATGATTATTCCGCCTTGTGTCGTTGATATTCTAGCTATCTCGCGAACTGCAGCATCAAAGAACGTAGCGGGAATCAGGGTCGTCGAGGAGTGGGATCGAGATCCATGGAAAGGGGCACCTGCCCTGAGGTAGCGTGAGCTGCACCCACAGACCAAATAGCATCCGAGCTGCTTCAGGACACGCGCTCCAAAATCATGGGCACTGCAAAGCCCTGTATTTCTCCCTCTCCAGGCGTCGCCAACTCACTGTTTCCTCTGGACCCATGTGATACGAAGCCTATGCTCATCGATCAACTATCATAGAGCGAAACGCAGTCTATCCAGGTCCCAGGCGCGACAACCTTCATGCAGTAATCTCCCTACACCACTCACCCAACCACTGCTACTACGTTGCCATGAGGTGGTCACTGCTGTCTATACCGGTGTTGCACAGCATCAGCATAGATGAACTCCCTGACGAACTCAGGCAGCAGCGTGCGCCACCACGCCATGACCGCATGCGGCCAGTAGGGAATCACGACCATCCTTCCACAGCCAACGCGCGCGAGCGCCGCCTCCACGAACTTGTCCACGCCCGGTCGAAAGAAACCCTCCTTTCCCCGGTTCATGCCTGTGCCCGCCACCCCTCCCGCCCGAAGACCGATTACCTCTATTCCGCGGCCCGTGACCTTCATCTCCCGCGCCAGCTCCATCGACGAGCTCATCAGGAACGCCTTGGACGGACTGAAGGTAGGAAAACTGGGCAATAGAGGCATGCCGGTGTCGGCCAGGGATCCGATATCGAGGATTAGACTCGGTCCGCTCTTCTCGAGCTGCTCGAGAAGGACCGAGGTCATGAGCGTCGGTAGATGGCGAGGAGCGTGATGCTGTCGGCCAGCTCCTTGGGAGAGTACTGGTCGATGGTACGGTACGTCTTAGTCACGTTGCGTCCGTCGCAGTTGATCAGGATCTTGAGGTTCAGGTCGCTGACGGTGGCCTCGACTTCCGGGAACGAGGCTGCGTTTTCTTCGATGTAGAGCTCGTGATTCATGACTGCAATGTCTATAATCAGCATATATCTTCTCATGGCGTGTAGGTGGACAGTCAGGAGGCTTGAGCCGTAGACCAGGGGTAGCTCTCGTTGAGAGGTAACTCGGTTCCCGATACATAGGCAAACAATAGAGTAGTGCTACTGACTGATGGTGCGAAATTCATTGTTCGGATACTTCCGCTCAAGTTCTCGACGAACCTGCGATACTTTCTGCGGATCTCGGCCGCAGAGTACGATATTGAAGCCGTGGTAAGCGAGCTTGTCTGCGGAGCCCTTGCCGATCCCATCACTGGCGCCGGTGATCAGCGCCCACGCACGATGGCCATCTCAGGTCTGAAGGTAGGTGCGGAGCTTGGACGGTCGTCTGAGGATGCCGAAGGGGAGGCCGAGCGGGATCCAGCGGAGCAATTCGTAGAGAATGAGGAAGCAAAGCGCGTGCCACAGGACGCGGATGAGGAAGAACGATGCGATCGCGGTGGTTATGTCCATGGTTTCGGAAAGCCTCGTCTTGTCGAGCAATGCGTTACCTGTGAGACGCAGGGGATGGAAAGGCGAAGCTGTGCAGAAATAGAAGAAGCGCGAGGTAGAGAAGCTGAGGAGCATGTTCACCTTTTCATTTCATTCGGGTCTGCTTCTTTTGTGGAATGACAGTGGACCACATCAGTCGCTGGCTATGACTCCTATTCGACCCTTTTATTGCATCACTGCTTACATGCTAACAGCGAATGCCCACGAAGTCACAGTCGCGTCCACGCCTATTTTGCCATTGTATTTGGAATAGAAGTGGATTTTTCAAATTCGCTTCAACAGTATTCAAATCGACCTCAATCGTGGGCCGTCACTCGCAGTTCACGTTGCCGGCTCACCCTGATTCCTGTGGAACACAGCCCGAAGCCAGTGGAAGAAAACTCCAAATCCGGGGAATGTGTCGTTACTTCGTGATGTGTGTGAGAGTCTCAACTGAGATATACAGATATGCGGCCCTGACCCAAGCTGGTTACCGCTGCGCTCATACAGATCCCATCAATAAAGCCGACAAGTCCAAAATCTCCCCACTCCAAGATCCAAGAAATATTGCTCCAGGCAAAACCCAGTCCAGCCCCTATCCCCCATCAGCCGCCCCTATCCGCTATATGCCGGTGCTAGTGACACTCTGCCAAGGCGATCACTTCGTCTTCGGCTTGATTCTGTACACCTTGTAGCGGCCCTTCCAGCCCTTTGGCTTAGCAACTTGCCCGGTGAAATAGTTGGCGGCATCTTGGTAGTCCTTCGAAGCCATTATCGACCGTCCGTTCTCCTCTATCCAGTTCCAGAGATCCGCTAAACCACGATTAGCACCGAAGACATATATCTGCAGGTTGGAACCACGACTCACCAGTTCGGGTCGGGCTTTTCAACACCGCTTTCGTATTGTGGGACATCTCGAGCTCTCCCGCCTTGCTCCCTGCTATCGCAGGAAGGCCTGCTAGCGCAGCGCCCGTGTATGAGTGACAGTTGTGGAAGTACGGGTCCATGTCGTGGTTGTGAGGCCAGTTTCTCGCCATTACGCCGACGCGATTCACGGTATCATTGTCTTTCAAGGCGCCGAGCTCCAGTAGCAGAATGAGCCTTTCCTTGAGCAGTAGTCTCGCTGTAGTGATAAGAGCCGTGTCGTTGTCTCCTTTCAACTACTCCTTTCGCGAAGAAATCTCCATGATATATAGACAACAGAAGCCAGCCAGAGTCAAGCTTCACATGGCTCGAGAGGACCAGATCTGCGTCAGGCGTATGATCATTGCACTCATACCTCTTACATGATAGTGAAAAGAACGTGTTTACACCTCTAACATTAACCTTTACCTTGCAAATGTCACCCATCGGGTATCGTTCCAGGAGTGTTTGCTCTCGACCCCGTTTCATATGGTGCACGTGCGTGAGATATGTCCAGCCTGAGAGCGGAATGACTAGAGTATGCGAAACGTGGTGAATGACCTGACGCAGAGCTCCATGGGTAATGCCATCAACAACGCTGGTGAATGAAGCCGGCTTCATCTTTGACTCCTTGAACACCAGGCCACCACCGAAAATCACCTGTGGATTAACTCAGTCTTGGTACGTGGATGTAGAAGACCCACGATTGAAGTCCTCAGACCCACACTCATGACTGATGCTGTGGTGGACAGTGGTCCTGTCACCCCTCAAAGCTGACTGAAAGATAGGGGTAAGTCTGACACATAGACGGTGGGCAGTAGTCCATTCACCCCTCAAAGCTGACTGGAAGATAGGGGTAAGTTTGACACGAAGACCGAATCGAGAGCCAACCAGCATGGCAATCACGATCCAGCCGGCATAGGCGTGTTCCACAACTCTACATTTTGGGTATTGTCACGGCACTAGATTGCAACCCCGTAGCCCCACAGGTTCAACCCCTATATATACCTGCTCCTGTCTCCTAGCTAGCTTCATAGTTTCTTTCCTTCTTCACGTACATCAACAAAGTCGTTTCTGGAGTCACCAGCAGTCGGACTGTGACAGGTATGTCTTGAGAGGTGCAAAACAAACTAGATGACATATTAAATACCCAAATGCCATGCTATCTACCAGGTATGATATGTATGATGAGGCCTAACAAGATAGTAGCCACGCTTCCCGCGAATCAGCCAGGAGACGTTTCGCACTCGCCACTCGGTTTGTATCTCAACACATTCTTGTCCCGCAGCCTGTCTCTTGCTCTACTTTCGTCTGCTTCTCTAGGAATACAGCTTTTAACTTATATTCGATGTCGATGAGAGGCATCACTTACACAGGGTGTAAGGGATACTGCTTTGTCTTGGACACTCAGATACGTGGGGGTGTATGCGGCCCGGGGATCGACCCTAAAGCATGTCAACAATGCATTGTGTTCAGACCAGGTAGTCTTACCGACCCTAGCACATCTCCATTGTCACGCTGCGAGTGCACTCTGTTCCCAGTAAATATCTTCTATACAGCCATGGCGAGGTAACATTAAATAAGTTTACCTAGGACTTGAGTCGCAAAAGCAGCAGATCTGACATTGATTGAGATAACATAATCCACCTATTTCCGGTCTACCTCCTCACGGGCCCTCTGTTAGTGGGCAACTTGGGAAAACACGACTTTGACAGGCCATTGCCCGCGGCAGATCCGTCATACCCTCCATTCGTATTTGATCCAAGAACGGAAATACAAAAGTAGGATAGCAATGACAGGCAACAACCGAAAGCCAGAAGTGTCGAACTCTTCTCAAGGAAACATTCTATTCAAAAAGAGTCTAAAAGCCTAGCCCAAGAGATTCTAGAGGATATCAATGAGGTCGTAAAGATCGTGATGTCGTGAGACCGAAAGCATGAAGCTCCTCCAAAATATTGAATTTACCTTCCCTTTCAACCCCAACTCTTCTAGCTTTTCGAGAGTCTACGCTGTTCTAACCCTCCTTCTTGACCTTTGAAAATATCCAAACCCGAGATGAGAACCAGTCTATATAGGGCCCAAAAAATCAACCTGGGCGCACAGCTTGCAACACTGCTCTACGCCGCACTCAATGCAGCATTATGTCCCCTCCAGGAGAGGGTTTAACATTCCGCACGCCCACGGCGCTCGCCAGCACCCCAATGCCAGCCAGCCCACAGCAGCACCACAGTCCCGTGCCATACTGCTCAAGCAAGCCATGGCCCTTATTTGTGTCGACAGCCTGCACGATGGCGCTAGCGAGCGCGAGGCCGACGCCGCTGCCAATCTGGAAGGCAGTGTTGATCATGCCGCCGCAGAGGCTCTTAACCGATACGGGGACAGAGGCCAACATGACAACGGTGATGGTGCAGTAGACAATGGTGGTACCTGCGACGCCGATGACGGTCGTGGGGAAGATGTGCTTCCAGAAGTTAAGGTCGCCAGTCTTGGTGAGCGCGGCGGGCACGGGCGCGATAGTGCAGAGCACCATGCCGGTCAGTAGTAGAGTTTTGGTGTTAACGCGCTCGATCATGCGGGACATGGCGAGGGAGATTATGAAGCCAGTAGCACCCATCTGTGGAGTTGTCAGATGACGGGTTCTCGCGGGAAGGGGGAAGAAGGTCTTACGGGAAGGAAGCGGAGGGCTGTTTGGCCGGCGCTGAGCTTGTCAATATCTTGGGCGATGAGCGTGCTATAGTAAATGACGGTTTGGTAGCCGCCGTACATGACTGCGGAACATGTCAGCAAGAAAAATACGGTTTCGAGAGCGTAGGTATCTCGTACCGAAACCAGAAATCCAGAGTCCGGCAAAGTTCTGGAACTTCCACATCTGGAGCGGCATGATCGGGTTCGACACTTTCTTCTCCACCAGGGTGAAGACTCCGAGCATCGCGATGGAGAGAATGAGCAGTACAATGATGAAGGCTTTGCCCCATCCGTAGACGCCACCACTGGACAGCACAAAGCTGAGCAAGATCAGACCACCGGTGGAAAGACCTGCACCAATAAAGTCCAGCTTGGGCCTGTTCGTCTTGTCTACCCTGTCCCTGGGGAGGGTTATCCAGCCGATTATTCCAAGGACACCAGTTACAATAGTTGAAAAGTAGAAAACGTAGCGCCAGCCCAGCGAGCCGGTCAAAAAGCCGCCGAAGATAAGGCCCAGACAGAACCCTACGGCGCCCGCCGCTCCGAATATGGTCAGGGCCAGAGTTCGATCTCTCGAGATAAAGAAGTTGCTGATGATGCCGACGGCGGACGGAACCGTCATGGCGGCGCCGATGCCCTGCAGAGCGCGGAAGATGGCGAGCTGGATGAAAGAGCCGGCGAATCCGTCGGCTATGGTCCATACGCTCAGCGTCAACATGCCCATGCAAAATATATTTTTTCTTCCGTATCTGTCGGACAGCACGCCTGCGAGAAGAAGGAACCCTCCGAAGGTCAGGGTGTATGCCGAGATCAGCCACTGCAAATCCGCGCTGCTGACGTCGAATTCTTTCTGTATGGCTGGCAAAGAGATGTTGACGCTGGTCATGAAAATGTTGTCCATCAATTGCGCACCGCACGTCACCAAGAGGATCATTGCTCCACGCCATGACTTGATAACGCCGACGTCCGGGTATCTCTGAGCCACGTGTTCCTGTTCCTCTATCGCAAATTCTTCGGGGGTCCGCAGGCCAGATTGTGGCGAGGGCGGGCGGCTCGGGAAGGCAGAGGCGGGCGACGGCGGGCGCGTGGACAGCGGCGTGGTCAGCTCTGACGGAACTTCACGGATGGTATTGTAGGCGCCAGGCATCGCGGCTTTTGGCCTGGCGATGTATGGTAGATGGGGAACGTCATCTTGCGACTCGCGGCGAGCTTCATGGTGGCCGCTGATGGCAGAAGCGCTTCTTGTCAATGAGGCAAGGTCTTCCAGGGGCATCTCCTCGTGGAAGGTAACCCGTGAAGTGTGGGAGACATTGCTGCGGCGCCGGGTGCCGCCTACGAAGCCTGGGAGACCGGCTGGCGCAGCGAGACTCGCGGCCTCTTCGAGAGCGGAGACACGCCTGGTGATGGGCTCGCCGTCATATTCATGAGATGGGCGGTATTCGACCGACTGGCGGGCGTCAGGGCCGGATTCTAGCGGCATGGTCAGGACCTTATCAAGGGCGGAGAAGAGGTATCAGGAGGGGAAGAAAAACTCGAACCAAGTGTATGATTCCCCAGCCGGGGTTCCAGTTATACCTACCTGGGAGTCTGCCCACGGGCACATGGAAAACCTCGAATAGCCAAGAACCCCGCGGCCCACCGGCGGCGCTTCGTGATGTCAAGCGCGGGGACCAGCGGGGTTGTCCCTGGAGTTTTGCTCAGCCTTATCGCTATCTCGCCGCGGATCATCCCGAGCTTACAGCTTGCCCGTCTATCTCCTTATCTACCTTATCTAATCTGCACGTGACCTGGTGACCGTTCTTGTGCGAAACAAGGCGGGCGATCTCCGAATGCCAAAGACTTACGAGGTCATGTCAACCTCCAGTCTCAGAAACGCCTTCTGATTACTTACAGTGCACCAAGCTTTGCTCTTGTCGGATTTTCCCCTGACCCATACTGCGTCTTGGCGGCAGTGGAAGGTCATCCGGCAGTCTTGTACTACCTTGGTGTCGCCTACCTCGAAGTATACCTACCATGTACGCCTTTGGTCCATGGTTAAGTCACATTGTCAATGGCAACCTCGGTTCGCCTGGCTACGCTGACTTATTACTGCGCAGATTTCACCGCTTCGAACAGTCGTTCAAGAGGCTTCAGAAGCTATGATTCAATGACTGACTTAGCCTGCCGTGTCGTTTGACTACCGGGACGACATACATACCTTGAATGGTCTAATGACTCTGACAGTCCTCAGCCGTTGGTATCGTGACTTCACACCAATCAGTATCAGTTTCTAAAGTGACACACCGCATATAACCTCGATTCCACCGCATACACGAGGTGCAAAATACCACCACTGGTCCCCTTGGTGTGACCCCTTGGTGTGATCTTAGACCGGTCACCGCGTCTGATGTTCTACACGGCAACTTTGACAGTGATGTCGTGAGACAGTCGTACTAATCATGAGCAAAAGATTACCCAGGCGGAGAAAGCTTGAATACGTTATTTATGACCAGCGCTCGCCTTCGCCGCTTGGTATCCTGCGATGAGTTTGCCGTCACGTCACGTCACGGCCCCCATTCATTGCAATAGCGGCACTACACGACTTCGTGTTCCCAACCCAGCAGATTGAGATGGTATCGATGATGTGGAATTAATTCAGGCTCTGTCGTAACCTTGAGCAAATTAACGATGAATTTATTTTGTGCCTCATGGCTGAACTCTGTTCGTCTTCTCCCTCAACCTCAACGCCACTGCTTAATATTGCACCAGCGAAACCTTCATCTTCATTCGATGAGTCCCGAGAGCCTTATATAAGGACGAATCCTCACACGGGAATCTCGCGAAGATCTTCTCCACGAACCACACACAACTCTTCCCAATGCCACCCAGAACATACCACACGAAGCGGCACTACACGACATCAAGTCTATTCGCAAGCTTTGTCACCAAAGACCAGGGGTAGTTTGAGTCGAGAGTCGTGCCTTATATTCGACTGATCGTCCCTTCTGCTCGGAAACATATAGCAGTCCTTCTCCCCCACCAACCTATAGACCGCGATTTGTACATACTTGGTACACCTAATCCCAAAATGCGAAAGTGTATCCTCGCAGTCTTGGCTGCGATCGTCACGATCGTAACCGCAGACTTCAACGCCACTGGCCCGCTTGTACTACGCATCACGGGCAAGACGGACTCTTCAATCGACGGTAGGACATATGCCCTCGTATCAGATCATCAAGCCGCCTCTTCTAACAGTTTCCCTAGGATATGCGAATGCTTGCCATGCCAGCGCGGCGACAAAGGGGCTCTGCTATACCGCAGGACCAGCGCCAGACAACAGCACCGACTACCAGTTCTACTACAACTACACCTTTTCCGAGACTGGTAGGCAGCCAGGGATCTTGACCTACAACGGCGGAGAAACTACGCCAGCGCTCATGCGGTTCGACTTCGACCTCGTTTCCAATGTCGCGACCGCCTTGTTCCTTACTGACACCGGCGGCTCGTACATCAGCATGGACCCCGACAGTGGCAAGTTCTATACCGGCCCCACCACGGACGACTTGGGCTTCACCGAGACGGGGCCCGGGCCGGACGGTCAACTTAAGAACGTGACGAATTTCCACTTGTGTAACCTGTGGACTGGAGACTATTATAATGGTGCGATCGCGTTGGTGTCCGTGCCGCCGGCGCAGAATCCAACCTGCCAGCCGGTTGACTTGACGGGAGAAGTGATTAGCGGAGGTTCGTGAAGATCGGCTTGCCACGTCCCGCAGAGATTCGGGAGTTGCTCTTAGGGTTAGGATAAGAATTCGTCGGTCAACACTGGTAGTGTCAACAAAGGGGCTTGACGCTCTGCGATCCTTTGTTGGTCGATAGAGTGTGGATTGCCTGGAAAGTAGAGCTGCCATCAAGAAATAAATTCACCTTTCCAACTTCTCCCGGCCCTTCTCATGAGACTCACTCGCGTTCTCCGGCCGGAATTTCAAGGTCCTCGTCAATTCATAGCCAGTACGCCGTCACAGCCAGCACGTTCCCATCCGCATCAAGCTCGGTGCAAATGAAGGAGGTGATAATGGGTATCTTTGGCTTTGCTGGCGCAGCTTCCTGAGAGGCATGAGTCGCGAGGGTTTCCTAGTGCGACTTGGCAGTGATTTGGATATGGTGGGTGGTACATGTACCGAAGCAAGAACAGAACCAGACAACATCAATTACACCACCTGCATGAACCACTCAAAGTTTATCTGATACAGGTTTCCAATTGCAGTCGGCAGGGACCAATGTGAATGTGTTTGCCAGTCACGTCACCTGTGACGTTCCTGCTGGTGAGAACTGGAAAGCAACGACTTCCATCGCCTTCTTGGCCTCGAATTTATTGGTTCGTCAATCTCTCCCTACCGCAGATTGCATCTCGAAGCGGCTCTAAAGATGGCATCAAGACATGGCGACGATGAATCAATCCCGCTCCTCCCATCGGTCATCAGCCGGCTTGTCCAAACCATTAGGAACCGCATCACCCACGATGGCGAGAGCGGAAGAAGTGGCATCCACCTTGGCCATTTCTTTCCCGTACTCTGGCATAGCTCGTGCACCGTGTCCATGATGGTCAACGTGCTCTGGCCATTCGTCCCCATCGCCATCGTGTTATATTTCGCCACCAATGCCCACCTCTGGATCTTCGCCATGAGCTACATTGCCATGGTGCCCTCGGCCAACCTGCTCGGCTTCGCAGGTCAGGAATTCGCTCGAAAGTTGCCGAGAGTCGCGGGCATCCTGATCGAGACCACCTTCGGCTCTATCGTCGAGATCATCCTGTTCATCGTCCTCATCGCGAAGCAGGGCGAGGAGAAGAGCAACGGAGACGAAGCCAATCTCATCCCAATCATCCAAGCAGCTATCCTGGGGTCGATCTTGACGAATCTCCTCCTGTGTCTGGGGCTGTGCTTCTTCTTTGGTGGGATCCGACAGAAGCAGACGTTCCACGGCATCGTCTCGGAAGTCGGCAGTGGGCTCTTGCTGGTAGCAGCTTTCGGCCTGCTCTTTCCCGGTGCATTCTACTCTGCCTTGAAAGAAGAGATCGTCCCGTCACTACCCTTCAAGGTTCTGCATGAACGGTTCACCAAACATAAGCTTGAGGCCGATATGCTGAGCATCAGTCAGGTGACCTCGATCGTTCTCATCATTGTTTTTTTACTCTACATCTGGTACCAAGCCAGCAGCCAGCAGCCAGCACAGCATCTTCGATGAGGTCATTGAGCAGGATGAACACCGCGATGCCGACCGCGACGCTGATCTGGAGAAGGACAAGTTTACCATGACCGAGGCAATCATCGCCCTTGCCGTTTCCTTGATTTTTGTCATCTTGCTTTTGTTTATCCTCGTGGAGGAGCTCGAGCATGTTGTTAAGAGTGGCGTGCCCGATCAGTTCCTGGGTCTGATCCTGCTCCCTCTTGTGGAGAAGGCGGCGGAACACCTGACTGCGATCGATGAGGCATGGGGTGAGAAGAAGTCTTTGGTCGTTGAAGTGTTTTCGGCAAGCATTAGCTGACATCTTCGCAGATGGAGTCATCAACAGCGCCCTTTACCACTGCCTGGCCCCATCGATGCAGACTGCCCTGTTCAACAGGCCCCTCGTCGTTCTGTTCGCCTGGGCCTTGGGCAAGCCGATGGATCTCAACTTTGAGATCTTCATGATCGCTTTGCTCGTCCTTTCGATCCTCGTCGTTGGCAACTTCCTTCGGGACGGCGAGTCCGACTGGCTGGAGGGAGCTCTGCTGGTGGTTAGTACCTCCCATACTAGATGCTACTTGCGAAGACGCCTCGCTGATTATCTTTCAGCTCGTTTACGTTATCATCGCTATTGCTTCATGGTTCTATCCACAGATGTTGCCTCGTCGAACGGAATAGAAGGACTAGGGGCACAGGAGGTTACCCTCAGCCCGGAAATGCTACAGCAGCTGAAGGAACAACTGAAAGAGAACCTCGCAACTCGGTGAGCTTCAAGCGGCGTATGTGTTTCTGGCCGTAAACTTCACAATCTAGTATACATGCTGAGGTAGATAGGTAGATACGCAGGTCAGTTTGTATGATATCATGCGAGATAGACTGCTGCTGCTCTTAATAAATACAGGATTGCTACTACACGCTCCTTTCCGAACCAGGAGTCTCAGCATTGGCGTGAAGTTACTGTCTTTATCCCATTACCACAGCTTTCTGCCTCCGCGCCTTGAACTTCGCCACGCATCGCAGCATTCTCATATTCCTCCCCCAGTTCTCCACTGATCACGATCACCTCCAACCCCGTTGCATCGTGCCACGCCCCCGTCAGCAAGCCTTCCCGGTGTCCCACGTGCAGCAAGAGGTAGACATGCCAAGCAACGCATCCCCAGCAGTACACGCGCACCTCGCAAAACCGCTCATCTCGCGAACACCGAACCCCCCAACCAGCCTCGCCCGTCCCGATGAAATTTGCTAGAACCGCCCAGGACTCGAACTTCGCCCTCTCACTCCAGGCTGAGCAAGTCAACTGCTAATGTCCTCGCTCGAAGGCACCTAGAGCTCTGGTTGCTCCGTTGGTCCGAGGTGGCCCGATATGCTGCGGTCTTCTGCGAGTCGCGCAAGGGCTGGCGTGATGAGTTGATTCACTGAGATGTGCCGAGACGCCGCGACCGGTTCGGGGGAGCGTATCTCCAAGCTCTCGAACGTATAGCTGTGACAGCGGTGAAATACGGACAGCCTTCTACACAATCGGCTGGTCGTCATCTCTGCGTCCTCGCTGGATAACGGGTTTGCGCCTGAGGGCGACGATTCTGCGTTGATCCCATTCCTTCTTTTGAAGGATGACCATGAGTGGAGTGCTGAACTCTGCAGCTCATTCCATGATGACTTGAGAGGTGTTTCCTCGACGATTGCATCGTCCAAAAAGACTGCATGATCGCTGCTCGCCAAGAGAGCCGCAGGCAGGGGCTGGCCAATGTCGTTTTCGTGGGCAAGGGCCACCGGTGATGAGGACGGAGGCGCCAGGATGTCGGATGTGCAGGGGACGACCTCGAGGTTCTCGGCACTGACTAGTGCTCTCGAATCTTGGCCACAGGGAGGTTTGTCGTCAGAAGAGATGATGATCACCCATTGCGACGGGGATAGTGACGCGTGGGTATGGCTCGAAATTCTGTCGGGTAGCTCCATATTGTGTTCAAGTACGCCAGTTGGTGATGAGAAGGACTGGATTCCCATGGTAGTTTCCGGGTCCAAATCTGGGATGTCGCTGGAGGGGGAGTTCCACGGAGATTCTGATCCCGGCTGTAGCGGTGTCTGGACAGTCTGGGACAACCGTATAGCAAGGCAAAGCTGTGCTCCCTCGAGACTGGGCGAGTCTGCATTATCTAGTACACTGTCGAATGATGGACTCGGACTTTGGGTTCACGATGGAATACTCGTGAATATATCCAGACTTGTTCCTTTGCTTTTTGCCACATCTGGCTGGCTTGGTTGGCTGTCGGGTACCACGCTCCTCTCAGCACTGCAAAGCGGATTCCGGTGTGATGCCGATGTGACAAAGCCTTGGTTGCCGATCTCGAAGTTTATATAGGACCAGCCTAGAGCCCGGTATCGTGTATCGTCTAAGGCTCTACAAGGCGCTCCGATGTGGACCAGAATTTCGACATCCGCTGTATCGGTAATGTTAAAGTATGCAAAGCGGGCTTAGAAGTATGGGTGGTATCACATTTCAGTCGAAATCATGAATGGCGGGAGCAATGAAGCAAAAGATAGGACTGTGTCGTTCTTTCAGGTAGGATTTGATGTGAACTTCCATCCGCATGTATATGGAAAACGAATTCATCCTCGGAGCAGCGAGCACTGTCGTTATAACCTAGTACCTGTCGTTGTCTAAGGCAACAACATTCGGGCAGAAAACCATCATGGCAACCACTGCAAAATACAGCAAACCTAATAGTTCGCCCCCTGGGCAACGGTACCGAGCGAACACTGACCAAACCCTGTTCCAGCGAAACCGTGTAACATTGAGAAGTGAATACTTATTCTGGCAAATGGCCGGCTGATCACAGCATTGCCTCTTCTAGCTAGTAGCTACAGACTCGTACTTCCTGATGATACCATCGTGCATAGTATGCATTCATAAAAATGTATTCGCCTTTAATTGGAGGGATCTCGCTGACATTTCGCCTCGCAAGACCAATCCTCTAGTGTCTAGTAGATAGTGCATCGAAAGGTGACGAGTTGGTGGACGAGCACGAGAGAACGAAGACGGGAACGACGGCACCAATCAACTGGCCGTTGTCACCCAAGTGGACTCGCATACTTAGGTAGATAGGGTGTATTGAATCTAACGTCAGCAATTCTACACGTGAGCCGCACCTTGCAGCGATAGGCTGGTGGCGGCCGTGGTCATGCGGCTCATACACATGGGGTCTGCACGAAGAGTGATGAGCGTGCTGGCCCGTCTCACTGCTTGGGGACCAAATCTCACGTGAAGCTAAGATCATTTATCTCGTCGATAGGGGAGCGTGGCATCTGAAATAGCAGTTATCAGCTCGAATCACCTAACCTTCGAGGGGTGTTTCTCGATTTCGTCGTCTTGTGTTCGTAGTGACATAATAATAAGACTCTTTGGTACATATCTGCAAGTTTACATTGACTGAGGCAAGCTATATATCAGAGCAACACAGTGCTGTTACCTTTGACTATAGGCTGCATTCACCCCCACCCCCGGGAATAATGAACAGTGAGCCTACTGACAAGGCACTGGCGTCGTATCCCTTGATGCAATGAGACACTATGGTTTTATATTCAATAAGTGTCGATCTAAAGTTATCTCTCACGCGGGGAAGTCGAAATCGGTCCACTGTTCATTATTTCAGGGGTCGACTTGTACACTCCATGTCTCGTGGTTTCGGCAGATAGCTCTGCCGATGCAAGGGTATAGTTGAGCAGTGCATAATTGACTCTGCAATCATAGGCCAGACGACGACCGGGATGGCGACGGCTCCAGTTTCGTACATCCTCACGGCGGCACGGGCGGAGTCGAACAAGAAGGTCCCGAGGTCCAATGCAAGCAAAGCAGAAGGTGCCGCCCGTCGTGGCGATATATGAGAAGGTGTCCTGTCCCCCGCTCCGAGTCGACGTAATGCACTGCACCAAACTCTGTCTCCTCTTCAGAGCCAACTCAATTCATCATGCCAACACTGTTTGGCTTCGAGGCGTTGACGCCTTCGGCGGTTGTTTTGGCTACTTTGTCCATCGTGAGTGAAGCGCCTATCATCTATGCGTGAACCCCTGAACCTAACGAATGACATAGGTTGTGCTGTACTATGGGGTGCAGTGCGTTTACCTGCTCTTCTTCCATCCGCTGGCAAAGTACCCAGGCCCCAAACTGGCCGCCATATCCGAGGTGAGTCCATGATTAGGGTTCGGGTCAGCCAAGTGTTGATGACCAGCACAGCTTTGGTACGCATGGGGGTTGACAAGTGATCGCTTGCCCTTCATCGTTCATGATCTGCACCTCAAATATGGTGAGTAGGGTCAGACAATCGCCCTCATTTTCTAGTATGCTTACCTCGCACTAGGCGATGTCGTGCGCATCGGTCCCAACGAGGTATCCTTCGCGACCTCGCAGGCATTCCAAGATATCCATGGCCATGTGTCCAAGGGCAAAGGCCGCTTCCTGAAAACAGACTTCTACGACAACGATGATCCCAATCCTCGTATCACTACCGCGCGGGACCCGGAGGTCCACGCTCGCCAACGCAAGGCACTTTCACACGGGTTCAGCGCAAAGTCGCTGCGCGATCAGGAAGATGTTGTTCATAAATACGTCGACATGTTCGTTGAACAGCTTGCCAATATCGGTGAACATGGAGAAAAGGCCTTGAACATGTCCGATGTGTTCAACTGGTTGACGTTTGACATCATTGGTGAGTTGCTTCGCGAACTTACCTCAATTGCCGCGGCTGACCATCTGTCACAGGCGATCTGGCCTTCGGAGAGCCATTTGGTGCCGTCGAAGATGGACGCACGCATTTCTGGGTGTCCCTCCTCTTTGGATCTCTCATCATGGCTCAGATGACAACGCTACGAAGGAAGCTTCCTATCCTGAATCTTGTGCTTCCATATGTCCTGCCAAAGGGTGCAGCCGAGGATCTCAAAAGACACAGGGCACTGACGAGGGAGAAGACCCTGAGGCGCATAGCACTCGGCGACACTGGACGTGACGACTTCTTCTCGCACATGCTGAAGAAGAACACAATGCCAGAAGGAGAGATGATCGGCCAGTCTCACACTCTGATCTTGGCCGGGTCTGAAACGACCGCCACGTTTCTATCCGCAGTTACTTGGCACCTACTCAAGAATCTGGAGTGCATGAAGAAGCTCCAGGAGGAGGTTCGCGGGGCATTCACGTCCCAGGAGCAGATTACTGGAGACTCCACGGCGGGTCTGCAATATCTCCATGGTGTCCAAGAGGAAGGCCTACGGATCTTTCCACCTGTCCCATTGAACTTGCCTCGATACTCCCCGGGCGCCTCCGTCGATGGTCATTACATCCCCGAAGGACTGACGGTCTCGGTCAACTCCCTTACCGTGACGCGCGATCCCCGTTATTTTGAAGACCCCGACGCTTTCCGGCCGGAGCGCTGGATCGATGAGGAGTTTCACGACGAGAAAAAGGCAAGCCAGCCATTTTCGGCCGGGTCGCGCGTCTGTCTGGGCATTAACCTAGCGTATCTCGAGATGAGGATCATCTTGGCCAAGTTGGTTTGGGCATTCGACTGGGAGCTGGCCGAGGAGCTCGACGATTGGCTGCATTCCAACAAGATGCGTATCTTGTGGAAGAAACCCGATCTCTGGGTCAAGTACCACCCTCGCACTGCTGCTTAGTATACCAGTAAGGAGTTCTGCGCTGATTGATGGCGTTGAGTGGACGGGGGTGTCTATTCTACATCGATGATACCACGGGTTACCTGCATTCACTATCCTAACCACGGCGCATCTCTTCATAGTCCGGGAGGTCCCATCCCTTTACGTTTTCCCGCATGTTGAACTTCGCAATGACATCCACCTTGAAGAATGAAGCTATTCCCATGATACAGTTGAACAGTGCAATGCCAAATGCCGAAGATGGCATCATATCCAAGCCGCCCTCGTCCTCCAAGATTCCCTTCTGCACCTGATCCATGAATGGCCGGAACTTATCATCGTAAGCTTTAAGCGCGTTCGCGAGACCGCCGGTGATATCGCCTTCTCCACCGGCAACTTCTGTATCAGAGCGTCCACAGTGCCGCCCGATCTCGCCGGCCAAGATATAAGCACCCACCATCCCGGAAGTTGTGCCCATGCCCGTTTTGACCGACGGGCAGTAAGCTGCATCCCCCAAGAGCGCCAACCGGCCGCGGGGCCAAGACTCCATCTTGACGATGCCCAGCCGTTCGCAGTAGAAGTCGCCCACATCCTCCTGCAAGGCCTTCAAGATCTCCTCCGTCTGCCATCCGGCGCCCCGGAAGATCTCCGCCAGCGCTGCCTTCTTCTCCCCCACGTCTGCCTTGGGGTTTGCAAGGCCCCCCTTGCCGCCGGGCTGGGTGGCCGGGAAGTAGGCCCATCGCCTGCCCGACTTGTCGACGACCTGCAGGCCGGTTTCGGGCGCCGATTTGGACCGGACGGCGGCCTCGAGACCCATGCGTCGCATGACTTCGATACCGTGGCCCCGCAGGTCGACCTGGAGTCCCGAGGCGCGCAGGCTGGGGAACCATTCGACGACGGTGACGTCGTGGCCGAGTTCCGCGAGCCAGAAGGCGAGGGTGTTGCCGGTTATGCCTCCGCCGCTGATGAGGACCTTGAGGCGTGGCATGGTTTTTTGGCCTGCTGTTTTCGGCGTTCGGACTGTTGTGAGGAATTGACAAAAGTGTGTATGATCACCTAGGTAGGTAGGGTAAGAGAATTATGAAAAGCTGTGTAGCTGGACTTTTTATAGCATGATACACCCAACGTTTATATGTGCTGGATATGCTACCGTAGCGAGTCTCGGTCAATTGGCGGACTTGTGTCGTCGTCTTGTCAGCCGAGACTACGAGTGCTGCCGTCGCTGGGGCCTTTGCCTCGGGGATAGTCCCGCACCACTGTATCGGAATGTCAAGACTCAAGAGGTTTATCTACGATCATTGCCTACTACTATGTCACATAACATGATACTGTGTCACGTCACCGACTACCGAGTCACATCATGGATTACTATTTCACATCCCCTAGACTCGTACTGTGTCTGCCATTGTTGGTGATTAAACCAGCTGAGAGTGGCCCGAACATACAAGACAGTTTAACACGACAACTTCAGCCTTGGAGTGCTGCATGGGGTTGCCGATTGATCGCTGTTAGACGGTTGGTCGGTTGTGGACTGATGACGCTGTGTGTTGAAAGCCTCTACACAATCTCAGATCTCCCGCAAGGTGTGAAGGTGCAAAGTCACTACGATTCTACCTATACTGAACTTCCTACTGTCTCCGTACATACCTCCCTTATCAAGCGAAATTTATTATAACTGGAATGGAATGAGAAGTCTGATATGAGCATCAGATATGGCTGACTGGTTTAAACCTGCTTATTCCAAGGTGGTTATTCTATTATTATGAAAGTGGCATTGACATCTCAGAGTTGCCAGGAGCATGACGGACGGAGACTCATGAGGGGTGACCGTTGTTGTCGAATGGGTAAAGACCCAGTTAAGATATCACATATATGTGGTGTTAGGCTCGAATCTTTAAAGCGCTAATTTGGCTTCACCCTTTTGGTGCGTCCATCTGTGACTGTAACGAACTGGGGCAATGTGACGGGACAAGCATCACATACTCACAACCGGGAAGGCAACCAGCCAATGAGTAATTAAGCCCAAGTCGAACAATAGGAGAAAATACGGACCATCGTGAGAACAGTGGCCATAGCCCTGCATCAACAAACAAAAGTCTACGTACTCGTTATGTATAAATAATCTAGTGCCACCTGCAATTCAAAACTGAAAATTCCACTCCCTCTTCAGCAATAAACAGTAACCATGAATTTTGTATTCTTGTTCTACCAGGCATACCACGAACTACAGACTCAGCACGATGAAGCTCCTGTCCCTCCTCTTCGTACTTTCCACCGCTTGGGCAGCCGCCGTCCCAATCAATTCCAATGCGCCGGCTCTTGCTGCCCTCGACCGGCCAGCCTACCGGGACAACTCGACTCTGGGGCTCACCAAGCGAGCCGAGCCGCCGGCGGACCCCCCACCACTGGAAGGCCCAGATGACGCACCTATCCGCGTAGAGTTACTAGAGACCCGCATAGCCGACTACAACCAGTCAGTACAAATTTCCCCACCTTGCAACTCCCTCTCCACGCAAGTACGAGACGTGCCTCGCCCGGTAGCCTCAAGTAAAAGGAAACGGAGCCATTCACATAAAACAGGGCGCATCCACATAATCGGATACCGTCGAGAGTGATGGCCGGAAATACCAGAGGTTCAAGGGGTGCCGAATGGAACGGGTTTGAACCCGTACAGTTCCACGAGTATCATGTCTACCTGACAAGTACGTAAAGCCCGTCCGCGCGACATATACGTACAACCTGTTGACAGTGGCTTTGCCACGCAGTGATGACAGGCCACGACCATTTTCTAGAGCACAGGGCCAACCCCGTGCCGGACACGCGCCCCAGTGCATACGGCCAACGATATCCCCAGCCCAGCTCGTGGGGCTCGATTGGAAATCTGGCTGGGCCCCAGGGGATGACTCAAGGTGAACTGGTATGGAACCGAGACACGATCCTCCAGATCCCGCTCAACGCAGGGACCGCGTATTTTGGCAGGCAGTCATGGACCCCGGTCGCTGCTAATGGACGGCCATTGCCAGGGGCAAGTGAAACCTTCCATGCATCTTGCATCTTACATGTCCCGTACGCTGACTTGGCTTTATTGTAGCGTCACGCCGTTGTGTTCGGGTATCATTACCCTGACCTTCAGTTCAACGACCCTATATTTGTTGGTGTCGTCACTCGGCCAAGCAACCAATATTAGTACGTCGTCGATGCACCTGTGTTACTTTAGAGGCTACTTTTTACTAAGAACAATCCACCACAGCTGGTGCCCACCCGTCAACTACGACGGATCCGATGCTGGTCAAGTTAACCCGGCGGGTAACCCTTGGACTGGTCAGATGAACAACCCTGGACGACGCACGACCCTCGAGACCCTTCAGAAGACACCCTCCTCCGGCTGGTAGCAGCGGCGGCGGTAGCGGGAGCAAAGTGGTAGCGAAGCAAGACCCCCACGAACGATGAGTTCACGAGGGAGCAGGAAAAGGGCCATCTCTTTGGAAAGAATAGAGCCGAGATCCTCCGATTTTCTGTAGCTGTAGTTTTCAGCGAGCTCGTGTGTAATTGTAGCCAGCTATAGGGTCAATAGTGAGCGAGAGCATCGTATTCTGGGCCCTTGCGTAACTCCTGAAATTCCTGCGCCTTGTGTCCCTCAGCCACGCAGATATCATATACTCATGTGTCTCAAAGCGCTACGCAAAGTCCGCATCTGGCAAGAAGAGCTCCAAGTCCAAGTCCCAATCGAAATCCTGACTACCATCCAGACTACCATCCAGACTCGTGGACATGGGGCCCGCATCATGCATGCATGTAGGGGAGACAGTGCCAGCCATCGTCTGCAAAATGCCATGACAGAACTCAAGACTATCCACTGCGCTCTGGGCAACCTTGAGCTCACACGGTATATCCGCTTCCGCCGCCTCAATCTGAGCCATGACCATGCTGAGGAACATGTGGCTCTTGATATTCGTCTCGCCCTGCCGGATCCGCTCTATAGATAGCGAGATCAGGTCCCGCATGGCCTGCTTGAGGAACTCTCTGTGTTGCGAGCTGCGATGCAACGTTCCGTCGAGGCGCTGGGCCTCCACGTGGACGAGGAATTCGAGGCTGACGACGGCGGATGCGTACCTGGTGCCCTCTTTGAAGAGGGCTCCGCCGATAGCCATGATACGGGAGAAGCTTACATCTGGTTCGGGCGATATGATTGCCATGGCAACATCCAGACTGATCTTGAGCGAGTAGTGGAATAAGGGGTTCGTCCGTGCCTTGCTCGCGAACGGGCGGTGCAGAGGGATCAGGAATCGTCGCACAAGGAAGTCGACCAGGTTTCGGTGGAACGTTGTCACGCCGGACGCCTCGTTCTTCTTCATGAAATTACCGCATGCCCGACATGCGTCGGCGATCTCCGAGCTCAGCGCAATAACGTCCAGGTAGGAGAGCTCGGTGTTCAAGCCGTTCAGAAGCTGGAGTATCCTGAGACGGGTCGGCAGGGAATCCAGGAGGATGAGCTGCATCGAAGCCCCAGTGTAGGTCTCTTTCGGATGAGGCTGCAGCACCATGGTCGACTCGTCCATCTCGTAATCGTTATTGTTGGAAGGTGCCTCGGTGTCGAACTCGTCGAAGGATATCCTGGGTGGCATCGCCGAGTCCAGAGAGGACTGCACGACCAACTCGAGGATTGTGGCCCATAGCCTCCTGCGCAGTTCTGCTTGTAGTACGGACATTGTCGGCAGATGTTTAGGATCGCGGTGTAAGCCGATCTGCATAGCCCTGTGGATGAGCGATCCCATTGACATCCAGACAAGGTCGCCTCCGATTGAGAAGATCTGTCGCGCCAGGACTGTCAGGCAGTGGACTTGCAGCCCGGTGATGTCTAGACGATCCTTTTCCAAGGGTCCGGACAGCCACGTCTGAGCAGTATACACCCATTGATGGACCATGTTGCGAAGTCCAGAGTCCGCGGCTGTGTGATCGCATAGACTTGATCCTACCCCAATGACAAGCAGGATCTTGACGCGTACGCCAGTTGGAACACTCTGCGGATCATCCCAGTACCTAGAGTACTCTGTCCAGAAGGTAGGCACGTGTAGTATCCTATGGGTTGACTCGAAATGACGGAAATACAGGCCAGCCATTGTGTCTGCCACCTCACGAGACGGGGGTGCAAGACCGGACCCAGGGCATGAAAGACATCTGCTGGGTCTTCCTCGCTTCATGCTCTTGGCTATTGCTTTGCATGTCTGCATGAGCTCACCCATCCGGGCAACCAGCGCTGCAGTCTCGCCGGTTTGGAAGGATGGCCCTCTGCCATTGCTGCCAGCCTCCGCAAAGAGAGCTCCGGTGCTTTCACCTCCTTGGGCCGAGGGGGCTTTGCCGTGCTTGCCAGCCTCAAGAAAGCAGGCTCCAATGGTTCCGAACTTGACAGGTTATCAGTGAGAGATTACTAGGGCTCACGCCGATGCAGATGGTACCGTACCTCTTGAGCTTTGCCCATCCAGTGGCTCCATCCCAGGATCCTCGTTTTGTTTAGAGTTATCTGTGAGTCCTGGCGCGCAACTATGTCCTGGCCAGTCTCAGGCAGCCCACGAGCAGGAGTGGATGCTGAGCGTTCCTCAAGCTTCTGTACTCGCTGTAGGAGATCCCGGATGTCTAGCTCTGCATCCTGGGAACGGCTTGGTGCCGGAGAACCGGGGCGGCGAAGGGTACTAGGAGTGCCGGTCTGTTGAGCTGCTGCTGCTGCTGGGAGCTGGGTTACGCACTGGATGCCTACATCGCCTGCTGTTCCTCTGGCTGTGATGGTCTGCTGAATTCGAGCTCCAGGCGAGTGTACAGAAGCCGGTGGGCTTGATGTCGAGCCCTCGGAGTTACCAGGCGGGGGCCGCTGCCGGACAAGCGGTTCATTGCCATGAACTGCGTAGACGCATTGGGTCTCAGTGGCGGCACAATGACGGCAAGGGTTGATCCGGTCACACTTGATCTTTCTCTGACGACAAGGTATACAGGCCAGTGTTGGTCTTCGACGTCGGCGGATTGGTTGCTCCATCAAGAACGCGCTCTGGTCTCCTTCGGCCGTATCAACAAGCGTCGTGTCCGGAAGACTCTGGATGCAGCTGTGAAGTAGAATCTATAAGGTGAGCAGAAGCTTGAGTGAGTTGTCTAGCCAGCGTTGTAGGATCCCTATCACCTACGTCGGGAGGAGCTCCGGATGTGACATTGACCGAAAAGACCGAATATGCCGAAAAGACCGAGGCTTTGCCCGCGCTTATGTCCGCGTGACTCCAAGTCTCGGCCGAACAGCCCGGGCCCACTTACACAACCCCTGAGCCCCGTTCGATATCTGTTGACAGAAAGGGGCTGAACGCGGAACTCATTTCATCTTGACATCTCAGCGTGATACTCGGCAACACGTCATGGGTACTTCGAGCATAACGAGCTAACCTGATGTACTACTGGAACAGACGCGCGATATTGAAGCCAGCTATACAACTGAATGTTAAAGGACAGGATGGTAGAATAGGTAGGGGCTAGGGGTTTGCTGTGGCTTCCTCGTGGGCGAGGTTATTCCTAGCGGACTGCCCGTGTCCCGTAGAGAGTGTCCTGACCCGTTCAATCTAATATGATGAACCTCAATTTTTGGGGAGGACAGAATAGATTGGACTACGTCATATGTTTTGCGCGTGCCTATCTTTTACCCTCATGCTCCCCAAAAAGTGTATGCCCATGGTCCTACATATTTCTTCCTAGCACAGCTCATCATTCTACGGTCAACCACGATAACCGCGATCGTTACTAGTCAGCACATAGCGAGATGTCAGAGGCCTCCTCCCATTGTTTGCCCTTGTTGTCCAACGCCAACAGAGCACCTCCTACTCGGTTCTTTTCGCTTCGGGGTCGATCATGGCCGAGAATGGACTTGGATACGCTGCAAGCACCAGCGTCATGCCGTATACATCAGATATAACCTAATTATGTTCATATTCCTCGACTTCGAGAGACTGAAGGCGCACAGCCTGCTAGAAAAGCCCAGAAGTGGCGAGTTCTCGGCGATACCCATGTCGACGCGAGTGCGTCGGTCAGCGGCGCAAAGGATATGATCGCAAACAGGATAAATCATAAGCGATGGAACAATTCAAGATAATGGTCGCTGACTTGTTTTCCTACCCTGATAACCAGCAGTTGGAAAGACGTCTACCCCCGGGAGACAGTCTCACACATCAACATTCCAATGCCTTGGGACCCCTGCCCAGCTCTAAGGCACTACACCCTACGATCACAATCCATAGACAGCAATTCTCAGCCCTAGACCCAGGTTTATAAAAGCTTGTGGCTTGAGACCATGTGATGATGAAGAAAACTTCTCGTGGGACCCCTGCCCTGAGACCGTACTAGTTATTTAGCAAGGCCGACCCTGTTTCTCTATGAGCTTCTTAGAATAGATAAAGCTAGAAGCATAAGTGAGACACTATCATAATGATTGGAAAGATTTGGTTATATGATGGTTGGCAACGACAGTCAACATGTGCTGCCTTTTCGTTCGTCACCCACTGCAATCGAACCCCTTTCCAGCTCACTCAATCACCCCGAAGCACATAACTACCCCGTCACTTTACCACGAGCAACCAGATGCCGGATGGAGTGGTACAATACACAACTGCGTTCCTAGCCCTCGTCGCCTCTCCGACTACCGACCCCAACTAATGATGCACAGGCCGACCCAGCATCCCAGTAGGCCCAAGGGCGGATACCTACGACTACTGATGAAGTGCCCCAAGGCGTCAACGGCACTTTGAAGGTGCTGAGACCGCCGCCGAAGAGGTGCTGCAGTACCTATCCGTACGTACCTACTCAGGCAACTATCCCGCTGACAGTCGACCCAACCACGCACGTCTTCGACGTGCCTCCTGCCATCACGTCCTTGAGACTGTGAACAACGCCTTTGCCGGGGATCAAGCGAACCTCGCGGCCACGACAATCAACAACCAGCGTCAAACCTGCCCGCTCCGAAAGAGGTTCAACAAGTCAAGTCTAAATCACCTTCCAATCCAGCCCAGCATCGCATGACAGATGACCTCGAGGATCTGGAAGGCGCTCAGAGCCCGGTCTTGGTCTCCAGCAGAACAATCATCTCTTCTCTCAAGTTGACCCCTTAACTTAAACCAGCCCCTTTCCATAGGTAAGAACACCTTCTCCCGTTCCTACCATGCCCACCACCACACCAAGTGCCGTTAAAGACAGAACACACGCCCATAACCCCCCTCACCAACACCAGCTCCAAGCCCCGTAACGACAACCCCAATCATCCATCCCCCCACCGGCACGAACGCCACGGCGCCGCCTCAACCGTCGACGACACAAACCCTAAAAGCCCAACCTAAACGCCCCAACCGCGCCCACCACAACGGAAGCTTTAGACTTCGCACCTCTAACGGGGTTGTAACGGCGCTCAGCCATACCTTAATATCAACGTCCGGCAACCGCCACGGCGGAACTCTAAGAACCCTAAACACCATAAGCACCTTACCACCCACTTGCCGTACGCCTCTCCCGCAGCGCCTCACAGTCCCGCGACGGACGTACGCACGCACGGCCGCGAGTTCACGGACAACCGTTGGATATCACCTGTCTATCTGTGCGCCAGACAGACAGCCCAGGCTAGTTCTCCCGAGAACCCTATACTGAAACGAGAGGGCGTCACTGGCACGCACAAACAGCCCGGGGCGTGTACGCAGCAGCAACAACGTCCCGCGCTGTTGCGGGCGCGGGCGACACTTCGATTCTGGCCGGCGCTCACGATACAACAAACAGTTAAGGACACAGACTCCATCAAATCTCAGCGACTCAAATTAATAAGCTCAACAATGGTTAAATGAATCCATCTTCTTCCTACACTGTCCTTGCTCTCTGCCCTCCTAACAATAGTAGCAGCGACACAGTCAACTACATGAGCCTAATAGCTCGGGTATCAAGACCACGACGTGACGACCATGACCACTAACCGGTACCTCTCACTTGGTTCCTTCGCCTGACATCAAACAGCTACCCCTTCGAAAGATATAATAAAATGAACGCGTTGTGAATGGTATCTCCTCCAACATGCTGCCCTCTGTCGCAAGTCGCCATTGACGACGTTCCCTTTTTCTTTTCTTTTCTTTTCTGCCTGCCAAACCATGCGAAAGCAACTGGACTCCGTCCTCTGTTCTCCTCTGTTTACGTGGAAACCGCCGAGTTTTGAAAATGGACGCGAAAAAAAGCAGCAACGCCAGCAAAGGACCAAGCCAGCTGGCGCCCTGCCATGACACCCAAAGATGATGAAAATGATCCGAGTTTGCCTAGAGAATTAGAACAACGGCTTGATGCGGTAAGGACAGGGCAAGGGCCATCGTATCGAACGACGCTGAAAGACGCAGCAGGAGACGCGTTGCGCATTGCTGATCCCCTCTCTCTCCCACCTTCGACAAACTCATAGTTGCGCAAGATGTAGTGACGCTCATTTTGTACCGCAGTACGATGCAAGGTCGTCCACTGGTCGTATCGTCGTAATGGCCAGTATGTTTGGCAAGTATGTAGTGCGCGTATGGTACAGGCGGCCTAGTAACGCTGTGTCGAAACACCGCTGAACGAAGGTCACACGGCAGAATAGCTGGCGAGATCCCAAGTCAATGTGCGGTGAGAAGCGCATCAGGCATTGCTGAAGTGCGGCAAACCAAGGCGGGCTTACAACACAAGACAGGAACAAGGGATGGCGCAACCCTAAGAGCTGTCCCGCTTATCGCCACTACCCATTCGCTCAGTCCACTTTCTCTTGCCGATGCGGGTTTCGTAGTGAGGTGCCGCGGTCTTGACGTCTTGCATGACATTATCGATAGCCTGGCGCGTCTTGTTGCGATAGTTGTCCACTGTAACCGATCAGCGTGGTGAAAAGGGCAGAAAAGGGTCGTGAAACTCACAAGCTCGCTGTAAGAAGATGGTCCTCCCAGAAAAGACACGGCTCTGCAACCACGCCATTCGGTAGCCCAGATCGTTGAGCCGAACCTCCTTTCCACGAGTGGCCTTTCTCGTTCTCGGGATGCCGACCTCGCCCTCGCTGCCATCAGACATGGGAACCTTTACCATACGGCGTTCTCGGGTGTTATGACCCCTCGAGCGTCCTGTTCGGCCGCCGTCGACTTCTACACCATCGTCATCGCTCAGATCCTCCTGGAAGAACTTGCTGCCAGTCGCGCTAGGTGGCGGACTCTGCATCTCACGCGGGAAATAGCTGTGCGGGAATACCGAGGAGCTCTTGCGGAACGAGTCAGGGATCTCCTTGGTGTCGACGGACTCCAGTGTGACGCGTACGCGCAGCCGACAGCCACGTTTGTTGTCTTCCACGAGAATGAACTTTCGTTTTTTGGCCTCGGGAATATCGGGGAACAGGCCGTCCGGACTCACATCGTCCTCTTCTTTAGCCTGACGCCGAGCCGCGATGGCACCGTGGTGGGGTCCGTCGTGGATGGGCGGCATGGAGGATCCGGATGTGGCATGACCAGGGTATTGCTGGGGGTAGCCGGAGAAGACATGGGCTGGTCGAACATCATCCGAATTGCCCGACCCCGGTCCACTGGGTGCCTGGTGGTGATGATGATGCGAGTCATCATCCATGTACTCATCATCGCCTGTTGGAGGCAATCAGAGTCAGTATGCTGGGTCCTAGTCGTAAGGCAGGTTGTAAAGTCAAAACGCAACAAAGCAAGGTGTAATATGTGTTGTATGCAGCTCTTTTTGCGACGGAAGGGGTTTGCAATGCAGGAAGACAATGACATGAGGATGTGGTATGTGTGCGTGGTGTTTGTGCAGCGGGATGCAAAAACAATGCGCGCAAGGTTTGCCAGCGATCAATCGACTGACCACTTCAGCGATCCCCGAGGCAACTAGATAATGTACAAAGCATGCCAAAACCCCCAGTATTCGCACCACGCCTGCGGCTTTACGCCGTTATATAAACAGGAGCATCCATCCCAAAGCAGCCAGTAGGCACGAGGTATAATGATAAAGGTATCACGTAATTGCACAACGACAACAGCAACACATCAATCACATCTGGTACATACCGACTTCGTCCCCTCCGCCCTGAGCACCCCCTTCGTGAGCGTGGTGATGCATCGACGGGCCCATGTTGCTCATCCCAGGCTTCCCCATAGGCGTCCCGGCACTAGGGCCCATGGCTCCAGGGGTTGACATCCCTGCCGGGCCACTAGGACCGGACATGTGTGCGGCATGGGGAGACTGGACCGCCTTGCGATTGTTCATCTTGGCCATGCGTCGCACGCGTCGACTCCGCAGTCTCGGGTCCTGGTTGCTGTTTCGCCAGCTGTCAACAGCTCTCTGTATGAGGCCTCTCTTTCCTCGAAGACACGCGTTGAGCTGAGCTAGGGCCCATCCGACCGTGTTGCATTCCGTCTCATATTGGAGACGATTGCCGCGGTATTGATCCTTGGCGCAGCATGCTCTCGGGTACACGCAGTTCTCGGTCTTGAAATCGGCAGACAGTTCATCGGTGTTGACAGACTCAACGTCACAGCGGATGGTGTATTCCATCTTGACCCGGTCTCGAGAGTATTCGAAAGCGATCCACTGGACACCGTTACCGTCCTGTCGCACCACTAATGGGGTCGTTGCCGGGATCGGGCCCGGGGCCGCGTTATTGTTGTTCAGGCCTGGTGTGGGCGGGCCTGTGGGCGTCGTGAGCTGGCCACTACCATTTTGATTCGTTTGGGGCGTGCCCAAAGGACCTGATGAGGGGCGTTGCAACTGCGGTGGCATTTGCGGTTCCATCTTGGTGTGCCTCGGGCTCCCCGTCATGCCCGGTTGCGCATGTTGACTGTTGTGCTGCTGCGCCATCTGATGCTGGGACCCTGACTGAGACATCATCATGCTGGGCTGCGATGTCATGGACTGATGCGGTTGCTGAGCATGCTGTTGATACGGAGAAGGCGCCTGCGGTGGCATGGAGGAGTATTGCGGTTGTTGCGTGCCATAGTACATAGACTGGTGCTGCAGTTGCGATGGCGGCTGTCCATAGATACTGCGGTGCTGGTCATGGCCTGACGGGGACGCGACGGAAGCTGGAGAGTTTGACTGAGGTGTATGATATGACATCGGCGGGTAGGGTCGAGGCATTTGAGCCGCGGCCATCATCTCGGAGGTGTCTGCGGATGGATTAGCTGGCGAGGTCCAATGTTGTGGTTCAGACACGCGACGCGTATGTGATGTAACTCACCTGCGGACGTATATCCGCTGGTCGTCCCTGGCGTACTGTAAGGGCTCTGCTGGTGAGCGTAGTAGGGCAGGTCCTGCGCGTGTTGTGCGCTGGGGGCGTGTGCGCCGGCTTGGGCTGCTTGTGCGGCGGACTGATAGGCTTGGAGTGAATGAGTCGATGAATACGCCGAGGGATGCTGAGATGGCGCTGGGGGTGCCTGGTGATGTTGCTGGTGAACAATACTCGAGGGTCGAGAATGCTGCAGGTGCTGGGGAGGCGCCGGACCCTGCGAGTGGTGGGGATGATGCTGCATAGAGGAGACAACCATTAGTGCTGAACTCGAGTGCCAAAGCCAAATAGTAATGACAACCAAGGAAAGTCAAGAAGCTGGACGCGTCGAATGTTTTATTTTTCTGACACTGTCATGGTCTGGGGAACTTTAAGCACCCCCTGACGACGAGGTTCAACGGGTGAGGCTTGTTTAGGCGACGGGGGTAAGCTCCAGGTCATGAGACCAGGGCCCAGGTATTATACCGTAAGAGATAGAGAAAGGCAGTACCAGGAAATGACACCACCAGGTGCTGTGCTTCCTCCTTTGGAAGAGGAGTGGATAGGAATCGGAAGCCGAACCCGAAAGTCCCCCAGTTCACCAACTAGGTTTTGCTTCAAGCTTATCAAGGGCGCGACTACGATGATTCCTCGCGGGGGGCAGGAGAGGTACAATGGGTACGACAAGGGAAGTGAAAAAATAGGAACAAGAGATTTGGAGATCGGAGCGAGGGTTCAGGACGCGACGATGTGAAGGGGCAGGGTCCACGATATTTGAGGTATAAGGTGAGGAGTCCAGGTATGAAATATCGAGGTAAGGATATGTTTAGGTGATAAAATGGGGCTCAGGTATGGGGAATATCAGGTCTGGAAGTACCGCCCACCCAGAAGCTACTAAGCATTGGTCCAGGAACGATTAACAAGGCGCGATATGCCTACTTGTTTGGTGGTGCAGAGGACGGGCGATGCCTGTAGCAAAGCATGAAATGCCAGGAGAAATCGAAGTTGGAGATTGTGCCCAGAGGGGTGAACGGATCAAGGTGTGGGATGGCGCATGGAAGAAACGTGACAGGGGGCAGGGGAGCTGCACTTTAGATGAAGTGACCAATGGCGACACGACTGGCACCACCGAGCTGGAGGCAAAGACCCAATGAGGCATTGAAGCCCGGGGCTAGACAACGCAGCAGGGGGTGCAGCTCATTCGCGATCCCTCAGCGGAGCAAGGCGGTGTGTCCAGCTCAAGTACAGGTACTTCGAAGAAGAGTGCGCCTGAGCCTGAAGACCCGATGCCACGGGAGGTAGCCAGACCGAGAGCCCTCGCTCGTGAGGCATAGAAAGTACACAAGAGCAGCACAACTCAAGTATATTCTACGCCGTAGGATCCCTTCGCGCATCGCTGGGCTTTCGCTCACTCGAGAGGGAAAGCTGGGCAAATGTCGTTCGCAAGACCCGTCCACCCTCCGCTGGAGTGAATCAAACCGGATGGTGTGGTGGCGGCGGCGATTGTTGGAAGCCGTTAATTGGAGAATCTCATCCGGCCCACCCAGGACCAGCATCACCACCACCATCACGCTTTGCGCTTGCGAAGTGAAGTTGGGCAAACGGCCAACAACCTCTCCTCCTCGAGCTCCGAAGGGGGGCCAGGATGACGGTGGCCACATAGCCGGGCTCTCAGTTGGTTGGAGGAAAGGGAAGCGCATGTGTTGATGACGGGACAAGCTGAAAGTGACTTCGCTGACGTTTTCACGCCGTTTCTCCGCCTCGCTCTAGCCCCTCAAGTGACCGTTTTTCTCACTGGCACTTCATCTCCCCATCCGCCACTTTCTTGAACTTGTGCACCAACACCACAACCGGGACCACTGGGCCATAGCAATGGGGGAGAGTTGACAGTGACTAATGCACTAAGATGCCGCTGATCGCGAACGAAAGGAGATGGCCTACACCCGTACCCCCATCCACTGCTTAGGGTGTCGCAGGCCAGCGGGCAGGGTCGATGTCGGTGGACCACACGTTGGCAACGGATCGCTGCTGCTGTTGGGCTTGTGTGCTGATGACTGTTGACTGATGGCTGAGAGGATGAGACCCGGTCGGGGACGCTAAGGAAGCCCACACGGCTCATGCCCTGTTCCAGAAGACACCCCCCCAGTCACTTGTGAAACAGGATGCACCCCTGCAATCAATCCCTTCACCTCGAGTCCGGACCTGGTCAAGCTTGCGACCGCCCCGCGGTCTTATGGAAGCGAAGGAAATCGCTGTACCGTTTTGGCATTTGGCAGAGCTAGGAAGACCCCGAGGGCAAGGATCCCCGTCCATGCCTTGATCACGCACACTTGAGGCTGAAGGCTGGGAAATCGTCGCTCGTCGAGGAGGCGAATGCAGGTAACCGACCGAAACCCACGCGACAGGTTCCGCATGATGAACAATAGGATATAGACGCGCCCATAACAATGGAAGGTGTGACCGCAACTGTGAGGGAAGAAAAACTCAAAACTTACCGGTTCGGCATGATGCTCCTCCTTCACGTACGGGCCGGGGGCCTGTCGGTGTTGTGCCATCTTCATTATCATCGCAGTGTGTTTCTCGTTGCCTGCGGGTGGAATGCAACCGTTAGTTCGACAACTATGACCCATGATTGAGGTGAGTCGTTCTCCACTCGCCTCATCTCGGGACGGCCGTTAGGGATGCCACGCGTCTAGGAGAAGGACCGGTAACAACGATATGAGAATGCGCCTGCCCAAAATGTCTCTGGAAGCCAGCATGACCATGGCAGGTTGCCATTGAGTGCACGTGCGCGAAGACATTCAGGGAGATGCATGTCTTTGGTTTTGGAGGAAGACCCTGCAAGTGTAAGGGAAGGAGCGCTTACCGGTAACAGTTGATCTCGAGGACTTGGTTGATGCAGTGAATGGTGGATGAATGAGCTGGGCCAGTCGCGTATCGAAATGGAATGATGGCAGCAGGTGCTTTTCTATCAACACACAGGTTAGAACGCATAAGGTACCAGGGTGCGGGTACAACGTGCGGATGTCGAGGGGAGGCGATAGGAAACATGTAAAAATAGATGCGTAATCGATAAGGAGGGAAATTGGATATGTAGCCCATGGCTTCGTTCATGCAAGTCTCTCCCAGCTGAAGGCTGCCGAGATTTGGGGGACGTGCTTGCTCGCCGAAGTGTTTGGTTGCCAGCCCACACGAAACCGGACGGATGAAGATTGATTCGATGGATGGATGAAGACACGTACCGAGTAGTCTCCACCGGCTATTCGTGGCAATGTATTGATTGACCAGTTGTCACACCGTGGGTGCGCAAGCAGTCGGGTCGTGTCAGAATCCCACTCTCCCTCGTGGCGTGGAGTGGACGTGCAAGGTTGCACTCTTCCCGTGATAGTCGGAGGAGTTGTCTCAGATGTAAACGCCTGCACGGTAGCTGTTGTGGCTGTGCCTCGGGGTCAGATCTGTGTCGCCCTGTCAGTTCATGCAACCGACCTGGTCTGCACCAGCTGCAGCCGAGAAAATGATAGGGGTAAGAATGGACGGATGGAGAAATACTGCTGCGGCGCAATGCGACAGCTACTGCTGCATCTCTGGCCAGTGCACTTATCTGATGGCTGGGCCGAACAGGGAATGAGTTCAGAGTTGACGTCTGCGTGTATAGTCGGGGCAACCAGACGCTGATCTACTGGTGGGAAGGGGTAACCACGGGTTGTCACGCAGGGGTGTCCAATAACCACTGGGGATCTTACTGAGAAGATCGGTCTATAGTGCAGGGTATCATGAGGCTTTCGGCAGGGGGTGAGGAAAAGGCAGGCTGCTCAGATATAGGGAGAGCTGGCGGCTGAAGGGTAAGGCGCATTGCATCCGGGACGCGATATTAAGAGTACCAGCTGCGAAGCGATTGCGACCACCGCCACGTACGCAACGGACGTGAATATCCAGACAGATGAGAAGGGTTTGCCTTACCAGATGAGAGAGTTTCGCAAGTCGGTCTTTTCGATGGTAGACGAGCCGTTGGAACTAATAATTAGTCTACGAGCGGGCCGTCGACAGTCAGGGTACGGGTATGCTTCGCGCATGTCAGCATCTGCGGTCTCCTGGGATCAGGGTTTGTGGTGTCAGTCCAAGGTATCTCTCACCTCTTTGGCATACGTCGGTCGAAGATACTCTTGTATATGAAGACAGCTGACCGCCTCGGTTCTTTATTGGTAACGGTGTAGCAGAAACAGTCTGACTCAGCCAACAGTCAGGCTTGGCGTTACGCAGCCAGCTAACCTTAGACAGATCGCGGGGCCGTGAAGATGGCAGGCTGCAGAGGAAATAGGGAATACGGAAGTCGGGATTGAAATTGGTATCGATTGGATCCGATCCACGCTGTGTGATCTGGGATTTCTCAGATATATATAAGCAGCTATCCGTCGTGAGGTAATGCCAATGGTAATTGATACGGGTCGGGGATTCGGCGAAAGGATACGCAGGGTGGCGAGTGGCTGTTCAGTACGCCCGCGAAGAACTTTGGTACTGATAGTACCTTCCCTAGAGCCGGTTGCTTATGAAAGGAGCTCGAGAAGTCTGTACGGTACAGTTAGTCGGCAACCTCGTCGTCATGTGAAGGTATATGGATCCGTGTCGACGAACCCTCAGGGGTAGATTTTGAGATTCAGCCAAATGCGGGAAACGGACAGGGATAGCCCACGGTCGCGGGTGAGCCCGGAAAACTTGAATCAGATCAACGACCGAACCTCAGTCTGAACAAATTGTAACGAGTTGCGACTCTCAAGTTGGCAGCGCGATCTTGCTGAGACCCGACGTCATGTCATCAGGTAGAGAACTGCACAGCTTGGGGCAGCACAGAGGCAAAGCTTGTGATAGTAAGGTGTGATGAATCTCGGAAACGTTGACGCAATGTGTGTCTGTCCCTGCTGGGCCAGGGAACCTGCAGATACAGGCATGGGCCGAGGTCAGACCAGAGGTGCATGGTCGCGTGGGAGGCATGCCCCCCTGGACTCTCAAAGCTGAACTTCATGCCTGTCGTCTGATCCGTCTACGGCAGAGTGGGTGAAGGGGTGGAATAGGACGTCGTAGAGTCATGAAATATGAATTAGACCTACAGTTGCTGATGTTACTCCACAAGATGGACTGCTGCTTTGGACCAGAAGTTCGCTAGGTAGAGCAGATGATTGACAGTATGCTGAGCCGGCCTGACAACTTTGGCGCGGATTACCATGCAGCAATCAGTCTACCGTCGGTTTGTGCGTATCGATTGGGTCCGGCGGACGATGGCTC